TGCTATAAAGAAAATTGCTATGAAGAAGTCATAACGTGAGAACCTATTAGAATAGACTGCCTATGGAGCATACGCAAAGTCCCAGAAACCTGGAAATCCTGATTCAGACAACCACGTTTCATTTAATCGAAATAGATATCCCTAGCTAGAGGCCCCCAATGCGTTATTTCACGATTTTATGTTCCTGACTAAAAGTATCTCGGCCATTTCATGCCCAGCATTTATTTAACTTCCTTTTCTAAGCGGTGACCACGTCGACTGTCACGACTAGACTCATACCCCGGTCTGATGTCCCATGAAATATGCCGGCTAAATACACCGGAAGAAACTCACGCGGAGCATGCAGGGGATGGTGATATCGAACGTTAAATTTCACCGATTCTTGTGGGGTAAATGTGCCAATCCTACGTAAAGTCCCTTTTTCATGTCGTATTTTCCCCAATATTATGGGGGGGCGGATATTATGTATCCTGGGCAGAATAGCGTCAAAAAATATAACCCCATACTGGCGCCACTACAAAATCAGGTACGTCAACTACGCGGCTCATCTTCTAAGAATTAGAATTATTAGATACAGCTCATTCGGTAGGCTGTTTTCTGAGTGAATGCTTAGCTGGAGATATCTCGTGATCTCCGTATATGCCTAGCGAACTGTCCAAGCTTTTCAAGCTTGAAAATGGCGAGCTGAGAACGCAGCTTCGTTCACCACGACTCATGGGTTCTATCCTAGCAGTCTCCATTCCATATTGGAGAAGTAGCATTGCCAGGGGACAAGTGAACCTAGTATGAATTGGGTAGAGATCTACGTAGAATAGAGATATATAACGGGCGCGCAGCGTCTTCGTAAAAGGATAGAAGGTCAAGCGTTGGTTAGTAGATTCATACTACTGCACGGCTCCTATACAGCAGCGAAGCTGCTACTTCTGACGTTCACTCTACGTATGCCATCAGTCAAGGCGTATCTCTGACAAGCATCATGAAGCGTCCAGCGACGTCGTTAGCCCTTCTCTCGCTCCTCAGCGCCCAGGCGCTGGGGAAGATGACTTTCCCCGACTGCGTTAATGGGCCTGAGATCTTGACGGCGAATCTTGTCTGCGACACATCTGCTAGCCCCTCGGAGAGAGCAGCAGCTCTCATAAGTGCTTGGAATACTACAGAGAAATTACTTAATCTCGTGGAGTGAGGCATCCCTAAGAGTACAAAGAAATCCCCTATTCGAAACTAACATAGCATTAGCCAGAGCCAAGGGGCGCCGCGTCTGGGATTGGGCGCCTACGACTGGTGGAACGAAGCCCTTCACGGCGTCGGAATTTCTCCCGGGGTGGAGTTTGCACAGTCGGGGGAGTTTTCTTATGCCACCTCCTTCCCTATCCCGATCCTGTTGTCGGCGGCATTCGACGACGACTTAGTTCGTGCTGTAGCCGAAGTCATTAGCACCGAAGCTCGAGCATACAGTAATTCGGGACATGCAGGCCTCGACTACTGGACGCCGAACATTAACCCCTATAAGGATCCAAGGTGGGGGCGAGGTTCCGAAACGCCAGGCGAGGACCCGTTTCGCATCAAGGGTTATGTCAAGGCCCTGATAGATGGCCTACAAGGCAGCGAGAACATCACAAAAGTGATAGCGACTTGCAAGCATTATGCGGCGTACGATCTCGAGTACTGGGGAGGCATAGAGAGATATGAGTTTGACGCGATCGTCGGAATGCAGGATCTGGTAGAATATTACCTCCCTCCCTTCCAGCAGTGCGCGCGGGACTCCAAGGTAAAATCCATCATGTGCTCCTACAATGCCGTCAACGGAACACCCGCTTGCGCTTCTACATATTTAATGGAGACAGTCCTTCGCGACTTTTGGGAGTGGAACGATGAGAGCCAGTACATTGTCAGCGACTGCAATGCTATCTTAAACTTCCATCAGGATCACAACTATACGACCACGGCAGCACAATCGGCAGCAGTAGCTCTGATCTCCGGAACGGATAATATTTGTGAAGTCGGCAGCACCACCGATATCAACGGGGCATGGAATCAAACTTTACTACCAGAAAAAGTTATCGACCAAGCACTTCGACGTCTGTACGAAGGACTTATCCGCGCAGGATATTTTGATCCCCCAGATGCTACTCCATACCGGTCTCTATCCTGGAAAGATGTCAACACCCCCGAATCGCAAGCTCTTGCCATTCGATCCGCCGCCGAAAGCATCGTACTAAAGAAGAACGATGGGATTTTACCCCTAAAGGTCGACAATGCCACTTCAGTGGCTTTGATAGGTTTTTGGTCGGACGCTGGAAACTCTGTTATGCTCGGCGGATATTCTGGGCTGCCATCTTATCTTCACGGACCACTGCAAGCAGCTCAGCAACTTGGACTCCACGCAGTAAATGCTACCGGTCCTATCAACCAGAACGCCTCAGACCCGGATACGTGGACCGGGGCCGCTCTAGAAGCCGCGAATAACTCAGATATCGTGATATACTTTGGTGGGAACGACAACACGATAGAAGCAGAGGGGCTCGACCGTTTCTCTATCGCTTGGCCTAGCGCCCAGTTTGCTTTGATCCAGAAACTTAGCGCATTAGGCAAGCCATTGATCGTCGTCGAGCTAGGCGATCAAAATGACGACTCGCCGCTCCTTAGTGATGATAATGTCAACGCTATTCTATGGACGGGTTTCCCCGGTCAGGATGGAGGCACGGCTGTCTTTGAGGTTTTAACTGGTAAGACGGCGCCAGCTGGCCGACTACCCACCACTATGTACCCTGTAGGATACGTAGATCAGGTTCCGATGACGGACATGAGTCTTCGGCCGAGCGAGACAAATCCTGGAAGAACGTATAAGTGGTACGATGAGGCCGTATTGCCCTTTGGGTTTGGTTTACATTACACTACGTTCGAACCCTCATTCGCATCTGATGCTTTTGCGGGGAAAGCATACAATATCAACGAGCTGCTCGCTGCGTGTAGCGCGAAATACTTGGACCTCTGTCCCTTCGAGACTGTAGGAATCTCCGTTAAAAACACCGGAAACGTGACCTCGGACTTCGTCGCCTTAGCTTTCCTATCTGGAGAATACGGGCCTGCTCCCTACCCGATCAAGGAGCTTGCCGCATACACACGTGTTAAGGGAGTAGAGCCGGGAGAGGCAAAAGAGGCCAAGTTGGGCTTGACATTAGGGGACTTGGCTCGCGTGGACGAACGAGGAAATACCATCTTGTACCCTGGAACTTATAATTTTCTGCTCGACGTTCCGACACAGGCTACGACCTATTTCGAGTTGACTGGGGATCCTAAAGTGCTGATCGAGTTCCCACAGCCGCCGGCTGACCTTGGGGAAGGTAATGGGCACGAGAAATATACGCCGAAATGAGTAGCTCTGGTACGTGATTCTGCTCTCTAAGTTAACTCATAGGGGCGGGAGTCGTAAAGTTCTTAGTGCTGGAAGTGCTGTTAGCGGCTATTTTCGAAGCTACCTACTTAAGTTACCCATTATTGGCGAAAGAGATAGTTTAGCTATAGTATCTATCCAGATCTTTATAAATTCCAAGTACTCATAATCAGCGTCTTTATTTCCAGTACATGGTGTCATTGATGGGTATGAACAGCAGATATTGTCCTCTCACTGTTCTGCTTAGTTAACTCACAATGAAGTCATGGATAGAGTATTTAAACGTGCTTATCTTGCTCCTAACCCTCAATAAAAGCCACATCGACCTTATTATCGCAGAATCTACAGACAATATCGGTAACTGAATCTCAAAATGTCCACACCTCCTCACCTTAAATTAAGCGTCCCATTTTGGGAAACACTCCAAGCTAACATGGAAGATGATCTCGCACGAGGCTCGGCATCACTTTACTTTAGAGCATATGGCCAAGCAGACCGCGTCCTTCCACCTAGCCAGTGGCGAGAGGTGGAATGGACTCTCCAAGACTTTGCTTATTTCTACGACTCCCCAGAATATGAGTCGGCTAGGTCGGATTACATAGACCAATGTCTCATGGAATATCCGCTTGCCGCGTTTCCGACGTGGCAGGAAGTTGTCGATGGAATGCAAGTTCTTTTCACAAGACCTGATGCGATCGTTGATTACATGTTTATCAGGCCCAAGGTATGGATAAATAAGGAAATCTGGCGACCGCTTGACTATGCCGTTGCGTTTATCTTAAGACTTCTTAACCATCGGGAGCACATCCAGAGCGACGTCGTTGACGAGGGTGAGTTCGTTGATGGAAATGACTACTGGATGGAATGGCAAAAGACTTATGCCCAATTTCTCGGCTCGGTTCAACCGTTCTATAAGCCCTGGGATAGCTCGGACAAATGGACGGCAGCGTTTCTTCTATACCTTAAACTTCAGTTTGAACATCAGACCCACGTGAAGGCACTTCTAGACGGCGACCCCAAAGTCTTTGACGCTGCATACATGGAGAACAAGGAAGGTATTGAAGTTGACCCCAAGGCAAAGGAGAGGTATATTCAGATAGAGGCTTTGAACAAATACCATTCCTAAGCTGTGTGTATCTAGCCCTTATAATATTACTTCAGTTAGTGCTGATTGTCTGGCTTGATACGAAGCAGCATTTCGAACGATTCAAGAATGCCTTTACGGATACCGAGAGGAGACACGGTCTTGGGCGCATTTCATCCAAGGTTTGAAGTAAGAGTTTATAGTTTTAGTTATTGCATTGCAATTCAAGCGAATCGTCTTTGAATGCTATATTCTAAAAATCCCACGGCAAGTAGTCATGAGAATTAGAAACAAATATCTAAGCTACGCCCCTAACATTATTATAAAAATGCAATTGTCTATTCTATTAGCATCAAAGACTCACAATCAGACAAGGGACTCAATAAAAAGTAAGAAGTCAAAAGTAAGAATAACTACCAATAAAGAAGCTGGGTAGTATTTAGAGAATCGGCGAGAGACAAAGAGCCTATAGGTATATAAACAGCGTTGCTGGAGGACGTTGGAATTCCGATTGTATATGAATCAAGTAACACTGTGAATATACTACAAAATGAGCTCTAACACGTCTACACAAGACGCTGGCATCCAGCAGAAGCAGAACACATGGCAGGCGAATGATAGACGAGTACTTCTGCCTTGGATGGACGACCCCGAGGAGATTAAGAATCAAGTCCGACTTGTCTACAAACAGAAGCTACCGCACCTAGATGCGGCTGCAGGCGAGCTAGCATCTCTCCTCGGCCTCGGCGACGGCTTGATAGCCAAGCAGCGGATGCAGAACCTATTCACGCACCCGGCGCTTCTCGACGCCTTCGTCGAATTCGCCGAGACGTATCTCGAAGGAAATTGGGACCTTCCGGTTGGCGAATGGGAGGCGGTCCACAAGATCGCCCACGCCGGCTGGGGTTCGCGCGCGCCTCCGCCCCGGGAGGATTGGAACGTCAATCATTTCTACGCCCGCTTCATCCTCCGAACGCTGGCAAGACTTAGAAACCCGGACGATGCCCCGAGAAACCTCGCGTATTGGCTCGGGGAGGCTAACCCATGCGACGCCACGTGGCTGCTCATGCACGTCCTGATGTATATGCAGTGGGATGCGATGCGGGACTATAAAAAACACGCTCCTGTGAGGGATCGTATCAACCATGTTGTTAATGTGTGGAAGGCGGACATGGCGTATAGAGAGCCTACTAACTAGGTTAGGTACCTAATTAATACATTTCGACTCTTTTAATAATAGCTTTAGATCAGATATTATAACTCATTATACACTTGTGTACAACTACCATCTAAACCAAGTATAGATCCTATGTTTCGGTGATGACTACCTAGGTTACCTAATTGATTCTTAATTGATTCTTAATTGATTCTTTATGAAGTTGGTAGTAGGCAACGTGATACAGCAAATAAGCTTAACTATGGGTAATATTGGAACTGATTTGGTTTTGTTGATGGTTCTAGACTTCTAGTTGACTTGAAATCTCATGACTTGCAATAAACTCAACACTGTCAAGACACTATTAAGTATAGGGTAAAGACGAAGAAAGAGGAAGATAACTAAATGTAAAACTAAACGAAGAGAGTCATGTACACAACTACGCAAAGCCAACTTGACGATGACTCGGGATGAATTGTTATTTGTTGTCAGACTCTGGCTTCTACTACGTAAGTTGGTACGTACCTATGTATAGGTACTGTATGTAAGGGACAAGGGACGTGCTTATCAGATGGAGAACCTTAAGCTGCCGGCCGGCAAAGAATTCTTCACCAATTTATGCCGGTTTAACCAATCAGAGACTTTCGTCATTGGCTCCATATTTAGCCGCTCTCGCTTTCAGAATAATCCCCGGCACCAGCCCGAACCCCTTTGATGTTTTTACCGGGTTTCATTAAGTACTCCTCGCTCTTTCGCCTCTTCGCATTAGTGCTCCGAATATAGGAGAATTACCAATCCTTTGCTTAAGCGAGGCCTCCTTCCTAGCAAATGGTTTTTTTTTCTTTGTATTATGGAGTTTGCATATACCTACCTAGCTGGAGAACCCGTCGTTTTGGGTCCAGAGTCCAAGCGTATCTCGGTCGGCCACATAAATAATTATAATTTTATAATCATCATATGTCATGGACTTGCTCTCCAAATATTCCTTTTAGCAACGCTGAAATGTGGTGAGGACGTAGACTGTCATCGATCTCATCACCGACCAGTTAACCATAGATCTCATCTCCCCGGCCCCGCTCTTATACGCCCTTGTATATTATACAGTACATACACAGCTCACCGGCTCGGAGATAATAAATTTTCTCTTTGCTTTCTCAACTGGCTGGGCATACATCATTCGTTGACAGAAGACAGCATCAACGAAGATCTGCTTGAGCACGCCTTTAACCGTTTTGCGTCGGGATCATGCCGGATCATGAGGCTGCCACGCTAAACGTCCGCGACGGCGAGAAACTCGACGACCTAGAGCAGGGCGCGAAGCCATCTGGTCATAACACGCGCCGGAGCTCCTCGGCGAGCACCGCGCGGGACGAAGACTCTTCAAGGGGTGGAAATGCGCCTGCTGCCGCTACTCCAGCCGTAGGCAAACCAGATAATTCTCCATCCGAAGGTGTTGCCCCTGCTGTTCAAGCTGCAGAGCCTGAGGCAGGACGCACTCAGTTTCAGACGACCGTTATTGTTTTCGCGCTGTGCTCAGCGCTGTTCCTCGCCGCCCTCGACGTCACCATCGTCACTACCGCCATCCCTACAATCACCGAGCAGTTCCAGTCGCCGGCCGGCTACACGTGGATTGGCGCGGCTTACTTATTGGCAAACAGCGCCACGGTCCCCAGCTGGGGAAAGATCAGCGATATCTGGGGTCGCAAGCCGGTGCTCTTGGCGGCTGTCGCCATCTTCTGGATCGGTTCGCTGATATGCGCGTTAAGTATTAACATCGGCATGCTGATCGCCGCCCGTGCCATCCAGGGCATCGGCGGCGGCGGCATCGTCGTGCTCACTAACATCTGTGTTAGTGATTTGTTCTCTATCCGCAAGCGTGGCATGTACTATGCTTTCTTTGGTATGGTCTGGGCTATAGCTTCTGCGATCGGTCCTATCTTGGGTGGTGTTTTTACTTCCAAGGTCACCTGGCGCTGGTGCTTTTACGTGAACTTGCCTATTAGTGGCGTAGGCTTCTTCGTCCTCTTATTCGTGCTTAAATTACACAATCCGCGCACGTCTGCCCGGGGGGGCTTGGCTGCTATCGATTGGCTGGGTAGTCTTCTCATCGTCGGCGGCACTCTTATGTTCCTGTTCGGGTTAGAATTTGGTGGCGTCACGTACCCCTGGAACTCGGCGCCGACGATATGTTTGATCGTGTTCGGCATAGTCACGGTCGGCCTGTTCGTCGCCGTCGAGAAGTGGTATGCCAAGTACCCTGTCATCCCGCTTCGGCTATTTCAGTTTGGGAAGAACATATCGACTTTCGGCGTTTGTTTGCTTCACGGTGTTGTCTTCATCTCCGGAAGTTATTATTTGCCATTGTACTTTCAAGCAGTCCTAGGTGCATCGTCGCTACTCTCGGGTGTCTACTTGCTCCCGTACGTGCTCTCGCTTTCGTTCATGTCGATCGGCTCGGGTCTATTTATGAAGAAGACGGGAAAATACCTACCAGCCATCATCTTCGGTATGTTTTTCATGACTCTTGGATACGGGCTATTCATCGACCTCGGTGCTCAGGCGAACTGGGCAAAGATAATCATATTCCAAATTATTGCGGGTATAGGTGTAGGACCGAACTTCCAATCACCGCTCATAGCTTTACAAACGACCGTCGAACCCCGCGACATCGCCGCGGTGACATCAACCTTCGGATTCGTCCGTCAACTCTCGACGTCGATATCCGTAGTTATTGGCGGCGTAGTTTTCCAGAACGGAATGGAGAAGCAGTACCCGACTCTGCTTGCTCAGCTTGGACCAGAATTAGCCAAGCAGCTCTCCGGCGGGAGTGCAGGTGGTAATGTTGGCCTCGTAGCCTCCTTGCCCGGTATACAGGGCGAAATAGCCCGCGGAGCTTACTGGAATAGCTTGCGCGAGATGTACATTATGTACGCAGCCTTCGCCGGGGTAGGACTTCTCATCAGTCCATTTATCAGCCAGCGACAGCTCAGCACTCAGCATCACGAACATAAAACAGGCCTTCAGAGCCTACGACGAAATGGCGAGGGCGATAACCCTACAGAAAAGACCACCCAATAGCGCAGATTTTTCTTATATTAATAGGTGTGAATTTCACGATAGATGATATGATGGGACACTAGAATTCAGGATTTGATGGGCATTAAGGGTATTTAGGATCGGATGATACATAAAATCTAGAGGATTATAAAAGTATTTACTCATGGCTACGACCTACACATCGATACCCAAATTTTGCTATAATTAAGGGATGTATATAATAAATTAATCTGTTAATATACAATCCGCCCTCGGGCTGCCGGTTAATCGATGGAATATTCCCATGACGTAAAAGCTTCAGGTCATTAGAGAAGCATTGAAAAAGCCGAAGGGGTGTACATCCTCTCTTCCGACCCTCAGTAGCATCGCCGAATTTGGAGAGTCGTTGATCTACCACTACCCTTAACTAGGTAGCCACACTATTATCATCCCGCGTTCCCAGCCGTAGAACCCGTTAGACAGCGCCGATGACCAGTAAGTCTCTCGACACGGAAAAGAAGACAGCATACGGTTCAATATAGGACCGGAGGGGAGTTTCGCTTAACTCGGTATCAAGCCGATCTTCTGCCACAGCGCGACGACGAGCCGCATGAAGGCAAACACGGTCGTTAAAACAGCCGCAGCAAACAAGCCCAAAATCAATACATATCCGATAAATGTCCCCATCCCCTTTCCGAGCTTCATAAGCGAGCTACGCATGGTGGGTTCTTCCACACTTGTCTCCTGGGACTCAAGGGTCGGAGTGTTCTGTTTGGAGAGACTAATAAACGGCTCCTGCTCCTCGACCTCGGTGGATGTCGATTCCTGATCGTACTCAAAGGACGGCTTTCCGCGCTCGTATCCGTGGCCGTCGTCTGCGCGGTCTAAGTTGTTAAGTGGGATAGACATGTTCTGATTTTGTTTTTATGCTCTCTGCGACTTTGTAAGTTAGGTACCTGTGAAGAGGCTGATATAAGTAGATGAAGCAAGTATACTAAGTCTGGCGTGTAAAAGGGTAAGTCGTAATATATATAATATAGGATCGATGGGGGCGGAGCCGAGACTGCCAAGGGGGCTGACTTATAAAGCCTTACATGACATGCCTATTGCTGCACCGCCCCTAGCAACGCATGATTATGAGCAAACTTAGTACCTAACACAGGCGTAGGACTTTCATTTATCTATCTACCTAACCTAGGTTAGGTACTACACCACCGTCTGCACCTACTATGTACACGTACTTTAAGACATCTTAGTTGACCTATCTCATATTAACAAAGTCAGTTGCCTTCTATTAAATCTAAACCATCACGTCTATTGCCTACGAGGACGAATGCCCTATCTAAACTCCGGTATGATTACTTACGCACACCTCTATATGTTTGAAAATCGCGAGCGGGTATCTTCCACCTCTAGGCCCGCTTGCTCCCGATCAAGTTTTCCCTTTTATTGCGCAGACACGGCGTGAAATATTTAATCGCAAATAATAATGGTAAAAGGAAACCGATATAACCGATAACTCCTTAATGACATAGTTACGCCGTATATGCCTAGCTAAATAGCGATAGCGACGAGTGTACATTAGCAGTCAGGTACACTGACAGGAATGTTAAGCGGTACACTCGTAGCCAATCCGCTGAGACTTGTCTCTTTGAACTCGTTTCGCATCCCTTGAGCGGTGACACGCATAGCACGGATAGCATCGTCAAGCCTAACCTTTGACGCGCTAGCTTCGCTACTGAGGGCTAGATTTGCGCTTGAGATGGCTTTGATAGCGCCTAGAGCATTGCGCTCGATGCATGGAGCTTGAACTAACCCGCCGATGGGATCGCATGTTAAACCAAGGTTATGCTCGATACCAATCTCGGCTGCTTGCTCGATCGTCTCGGGGCTAGCACCCATGCAAGCCGCGAATGCTCCAGCTGCCATCGAGCAGGCCACGCCGACCTCAGCCATGCAGCCTCCCTCGGCCGCCGAGATGGTGGCACCACGCTTATATAGCATGCCGATCGCTGCCGCTGTAAGAAGGAAAGTGAGGACGTCGCGCTCTGGGTCATCGCTAATGAACTCGACCGTGTACTTGAGCACGGCCGGGATAATACCCGCAGCACCGTTAGTGGGTGCTGTCACGATCCGGCCCCCGGCTGCATTAGTCTCGTTGACCGCAATTGCGTAGACGGTTAAATAGTCCATAGCAGGAAATGTGGTACGACGTGGAGGCGACGGCATGACTGGATGATAGACGGAACCAACCATACGCTTAGGGCCTTTTTTGATAATGCTTCCTAGTGCCAGCGTTTTTGGCTTCGGGGACAAGGATATACTCGTAACTGTGGATGATATCTTGCTATTGTCGCTATTCGGGGAAGACAACTGAGCTGGCTGGTCGGCTGTGCTAGGAGTTTGAGTATGAGAAGGATAGAGGCCCCTTGTCAGTCGTTTATATAATCCTGGCGCCCGTCTATGTAGCTTGAGCGAGCCCGGTAGTGTGGCATCGGTAGGTGCTTGAACCCCTTCTAGTATACTATTATCCATGACTTCCCAGATGCTCATAATCTTTCTATAGATTTCGTCGTCCGTGTACCCATGACTTTTCTCGTTCTCGTACACCAATTGCGCAATAGTAAGGTTATGCTTATTGCATAGTGCTAGTAGACTCCTCGCGTCGCGAAATGGGTAGCGGGGTTGTTGCGAGGTGGGCTCAGTCCCAACGGCTTCGGATCCTGATGCTGTAGATGAGATGGGAGAGCTTGTAGGGGCCGCCTCCGGGCTAGTAACGGCCTTCGACTCGTCAGCAGAGTCGCCATCGAGTACTTTGATCTCAGAGCCGGTTCTGCGGTCTCCCGCCGCATTTGCTCGCTTAATCTCTTTGTAAAATAAATTCTCCGCCAAGTCAGCCGGGTGTCCGCTAGTACTTTCTGCTTGAAGGTCTTTGGTATCAGCCAAAGCCTGATCCGCAGATTCACTTGCTTCCGCGGCAGTGGACGCTGTCGAAAGTGCACCGTTGACGACGAAACCCCCGCCAACGCTAAAGAAGTCATTGGTTGCCAGAAGCATGCCTTGGTCATCGAATACCATGAAGCGCATTCCGTTGCTATGCAGGGGTAATTTCTTTCCCCATTCCCATTTGAAATCGCGCTCATAATCGAAGTCGATTTCTTTACCTTTACCTTCTGCCAGACCGTGGCCCAAGAATAACTTTTTACCTTCCTTGATCTGCGTAAAACGAGTAGGTACATAGGCCGTGTCAATAGTCTCTACGTCTGCACTCTCGAGGCCTAGTAGCAGTGCAGATGGTGTCATGCTATTCAATACTAATGTTAGTTAAGACCCCTAACCTGACAGTACCAGAGAAACGAGAAACCAGAAACCAACTCGACCCTGGGATGGCTAAATACGAAACAGATAAATTACTTACTGGCCCTCGCCCGTGAGCGCAAGACTACCATAGATAGAGATGCGTATCTTATGCACTTTGCCAAGCAAGTCGGCCTCGGCTAGATCAGCAACAAAGATACCGCCAGCGCGCATTGGTCCAACTGTATGAGACGACGAAGGGCCAATGCCGATCGAGAAGAGATCAAATGTCGATATAACGGCGTGCTCATGATCGGCTTCACTATATGTGCCCGATTGTGCATCATCATTATTGGCTTCCGAGCTGGATGGTGCCGCGCTGAAATATCGTGTATGCAGCAGATGTGACGGACATCTTGTTACTTGTTCCAATTTAGACTGCTTCGTCCCGACTAAACCAGGCCGCCATCTGTTTGTCATTCGCCGTGATGCTATGCTCACAGCACCATGAAGCAGGTTGAGCTGCTTCACCGCTGCGCGGTTCATTGTGTGACTCGATAAGGATTACCAATAAATATGGATAAAGGGATAGGGATAATAATAGTGAACGAATAATAGGAGGTAAGTATGAATGAATTATGCCGGGTGTCTATAGCAATAATAATGAATATCCTCAAGAACCTTGACGATTTATTTACGAGGGCGCAGCTCATCCCAAAGTTATCCTTGACCATCAACCCAAAGTCTAACCCAATCAGGCATATGTGGACCATTTTACACCATAATAATACTAGCGCACCCAAAACTTAACTATTATTTTACTAATATTATATTTATGTAAATATACGCTTTTATATAGCATTATAAAACTTAATAAAATATAAATAAATTTAATATAATTAATTAATAGTTAATTACTAATCAATTAACCATTGATTTTTATTTTATTTTATTTTAAAATAAGTAAAAAATAAAAAATAGGTAAGCGCATATCTAATCAATTCTTAATCGATTAGGAATTAATTAAATAAAACACGCTTAAAACCTAAGTGTTTAGCGCTATAATACAGGGAACTTAATGGTTATAACGCGCTATAATTATAGGGCACTTAGCCTTATTCTAACGATTAAAAACGCCAAAAACTCACCCCAAAGCAGACCCCAAAGCAGACCCCGTCAAATACAACCAATCAGAATATTGGATCCAAGGTCCCAGCTTTCGCCAAATCGGGTTAGACTTTGGGTTGATGGTTAAGGATAACTTTGGGATGAGGTGTAGACTCTTTATTTACTTGAACCTGACCGGCTGAACGGCCTAGCCGTCAGAAAGAAAAATGTGAGGTTCAGTCAATAAAATGTTGTTGGAAGTAAGCGTAATCCAATAATGTGCCGCTGATTTCCAAAAATACGAGCTTGAGTTTCCAATTGGAAGCTAGAAGATCTGAGATATCCGGATCTAAATTTACGGCGGGGTGCTTTAATTCGACGGCCGGTCAAGCAGGAAGGTACTTCGCAAATACCCGGACTCGTATAGATTTGTATGGGAAACCATAAGGAAATCTAAGAGATAACGAAGTAGATCGGCAGTTACGATAATGGTAGATAGGTAAGTGCATAAAATATGGATAATATGGATACCTCATAACAGAGTATCGAGTCAATCTTATCTTATGTTAGGTATATTTGAATTATACGTTCAGTCATATAGGTACCCAACGAATTCATTAATCGTCATGTAAACACACTAATACAGACTCTTTGCCAGAATTCTAGATGAGACATCTAGAACAACGAACATGTTCAGGGTATGTATAGCCTTAGGCTCCCGTAGGTAGGTAGGTAGGTAGGTAGGTAGGTAGGGTAGAGTTTCTCGCGGAATAACGAAGTTGCTTCCCTACTGTTTGCTTCCACCTCGTGACACTCTTCTAGTTCAACATATAATCATGATCCTAGCATCTAGTCTGAAATTTTCGCGATACACCAAAAAATGCGCCTTCGTCTACCACCTTGAGGTCGAATTCTAATCGTTCTCCTGATGTATGTCGAATCACATGAAGACGTATACTCATTCTTCATAACCGTCGTGGTAACGTAACGTTACTTAGATCCCCGTCGTTAACAATCCTTCTGTACTGGTGCTACAGCTTTGGCTCCTTTAAGAGCCTTGACCAAGCTCGACCACTGGATCTTTAATACCTTCGCGTTACCTCTCCACTCGCCTTCACACTTTTTACCCGACGGGTGAGGGCGATGGAACATACACCAAAATTTCGAGTGGTCCTCGGCATCGACGAATAGTCTGATCTTGGGGATTTTGGACTCTTCAAGAAACTTGAGGAAGTTTTGGAACGGCTCTTTCGTGACGAATAGAGGTGCCGATATCACCATTCCCTTCCACTTTTCGGCTACAACACGAATATTATCGTAGACGAACAGTTCGTCTTCGTAGCCCCAGAACTCGTAGCATGGAAAACGACTTCCGATCTCAAGTCGTAGGCTCTGGAGTTTCCCTCTAGAGGCCATTTCTTGTAAGGCTGTGCCGTACACCTCGCCGAACAGATACATCTGCTCTTTCATCAAGAACCTGATGATCAGATTTCGAACGTGAAGTCGAGGGGTTACCGCAGTGAGTGAGCCGGCTAAGAAAGGATCAGCGGTCCCTTTTAGGTGCATGTTATCGAGCAGGACTTCATAGTAAAATATTGAAGCGGCTTCAGTGTATATTCGCTTATTCGTAAGGAAAAGGTGGACAGCATCCTTGCTAGTAGAATCCCAGTCGAGCAGAATGAGCTTCAGGATGTGGTCTCTTAGCTCGGGAGGAAGATCAAAGAACCGGAACGGCCCATTCCAGTATTTGGTGGGTGGATGTCTTGCTGACGATGCCGATGCCTTTGGGCGGAACGCAATTGATCTACTACCGAATTTTCCCATCGCTGGGCCCAAGCTAGGTCAGGGGAATCCGCTGGGGCAGCTGCCGCCTAATAACAGCTCAGATCGGGACTTAACTCCGGATTTCAGCTCCGGATCTCAGCTCCGGATCGCTCTTCCAAAAATGACAAAACTCCTTGCTTTCCAAACGCTGTCTAGATATCTGGATTTACCATATTGCGTAGACGTCTTGTGTATGTGAAGGAAGTGTTGAAAAGGTCGCGGAGTAACGGATTGTTTGTATATCTTCACCGACTTATGTAATCTATACCAAGGTACATAGGTACCTTTACGTTACCTACATGTACCTCCATTCATCGCCCGTTTCCAATTGTTAATCACCCCACTGTAAAGTACGATGCAACCGCGTTCGCGTCTGCCCCTGCCCCCTGCCCCCTGCCCCGTAGACCCACCCATCTACAGGTCCCCGAAATTCGTATCGTCAATTTTATACTTGATGCATAACTCATAACTTCATTCCGTGATGCCTACGAATGTGCATCGTCGACATTGCAAGTTTTGATTCCTGATTCCTGATTCCTGATTCCTTTCATGTCTCTTTGTTATTAGCTTGTACTGCTTCAGGCGTATCTGCCTGAACATTGCCCACCATGGGTGTCATTTCTTTTGCACGTTCAATGTACACTCACGATACCCTCGACACTCGCTTTACGAACCCATCCTCGACGCCTTACAAGACTGTTATAGAAGAGCGAGACGACGTGGTGGCTAGCAAAGAACGGGCGGCAGAATTGAAGAGCCGGGGGAATCCATCACGATGGAACACACCGGAATATTATGTATACCGCTTCCTCCTCTGTTTTATCATACCGTACATGTTCTGGGCGTGCTATGATGCTTCAAGACGTACGTACTGCCATCTTCCAGGAGGAGCTTCCTTCAGCCTGTATATAGGTTAACCATATTTATAGCCGAGGAACCCAAATATCAAAGATACGAGCAACTGCTCTCGCCAGGGTGGATTCCCGGGCGCAAAATCGTAGGAGGCCCCTGATCTGAGAGATGGCATGTGCTAACAGCTTGGAGGATACCTCGGATCCGCAATACGGTACTTTTCGGAGTAATATCCCGTATATGGTGGCGCTTCTCATTTTCCATCCCCTTCTTCGCCGAGTATACAATGCGGTCGTATACCCAATAAAATCGATAGGGCAGTCGGCGCGACCGACGCTAGAAGAAGCAGACCAGAGGTTGAATCAGCGAGCTTCGTTCGACTTCGCCTTTGCGCTGATATACCTCGTTGCGCTACACGGGATCTCAGCCTTGAAGATCCTTTTTATCCTCCATCTGAATTACCAACTTGCAACGACGTTACCCCGGAAATATATACCGGCTGCGTCGTGGATCTTCAACGTCGGCATTCTCTTTGTCAATGAAATATTCAAGGGATTCAGATTTGGTGATCTTGCTGAACTAATCGCTGGTCCTGCTGACACACTTTCGCTTCTCGACAATGGACTGGTTTCGTGGGGTCAATGGCTCGACAGCTACGGTGGGCTCATGAGTCGATGGGAGATTCTATTTAACATCACTATCTTGCGACTGATTAGTTTCAACTTAGACTACTACTGGTGTTTGGATCGTAGAAGTTATAGCCCGATCGAGGTGAGTCTTATTGTGTAGACTACTTGAAATTATTAACAGCAGACTGATGCCCTCAAGAAGAAACAAGTCGACCCGTCTTCCCTGAGCGAACGAGACCGTATATCTATCCCGGCACAGGAAAAAGACTTCTCGTTTAGGAACTACGTTGCATACGCCATCTACGCCCCTCTGTACCTGACGGGTCCGATAATCACCTTCAATGACTTCATATCGCAGTTGCGGTATAAGTCCGCCAGCATCGAGACGGCGCGCACGATACGTTATGGGGTGCGCCTCGCTCTGACCCTGCTTGCAATGGAGGTGATCTTGCACTATAACTACGTTCAAGCCATCTCAAAAGCAAACCCCGTGTGGAGCGAGTACACAGCGTCGCAGCTTAGCCTGCTTAGCTATTTCAATTTGCATCTGATCTGGCTTAAGCTGCTTTTGCCGTGGCGATTCTTCCGGCTCTGGTCTCTTGTCGACGGCGTAGACCCGCCCGAAAACATGATTCGCTGCGTTAGCAACAACTGGAGCACGCTCGCCTTCTGGCGCAGCTGGCATCGTAGCTTCTACCGCTGGTCTCTTCGATATATATACGTGCCACTCGGAGGGTCAAGCTTCCGCACCCCTCGCGACACCGCCCGGTCACTGCTCACGTACGTCCTCGTCTTCACATTCGTTGCTCTCTGGCACGATATTGAGATGAATCTACTGATCTGGGGTTGGCTCATCGTCTTGTTCATGATACCCGAGATGGCGGCCGGATTTCTTTTCCCAAAACGCGCCTGGGAGAACAGACCTAGAACTTATCGCATACTCTGCTGTTTCGGAGCTGTAGGAAACATTTTCATGATGATGACGGCAAATCTGGTTGGATTTGCCGTCGGCGTAGACGGGCTGAAGAGTATCATCGCGGGTATTTTTAAAGACTTTTCTGGTAAGCCATCCCGTTCCCCTCTCGTTTGTTTCGATCTCATATTTAACTGTATACTATAGGGTTCACATTCCTCATCACCAGTTGTATGGCATTCTTTGTCACCGTCAATATAATGTTCGAGATTAGAGAGTCAGAGATGAGGCAAGGAATCAACCTAAGATGTTAATCTCGTATTTTCGTGATTGGTATAATCGGTTGCAATCCATTGTTATCTCGGCCTTGTAGTGATACTCATAGATAGAAGGAAGATAAAACTTATTAGTAAATTAAATTTCGACTCAATGCGTGTACTTCCTATGATAACAGTGTCGTTTTGAAACCCCATATTTCAGCAATTTCTTTCTTTTCTCAACCAAGGATACGACGCCGCCTTCTAGCAGACTCTGGGGCTATCAATTGCACGCCTCCAGTGCCTATAGTCATTAATTATTAGCGCTTCTCCCCGACCATAACTATTTACCCTGAGATGTCACCTCGCAAGTTCGCTTATCACAGAGCCCATCGCGATTAGTATGAAAAATATTATATTTTGAGAGTACTTTAGTACTAATTTGCCTTTTGTGATACTTCTTTTTATCAGTTCATACGTAAGCACAAACACCCACGGCTATACGAATATGCTTTTCATCCAACCAACCCGGTCCCCATACCCCATTTTGACTATCAAATTCATTTCCGTACACCGTAGGGAAGAGACACCCTAGTAACACGAGACAATGAGTAGCAAAATATCGTGCATTTTTACCTGGGTGTGCTGATGCTTAAAATGCCTCTCACATGATTATCAACACCTTAGTCTAGTGAACCCTGGCTTATATCTGAGATCCAGTCAAGGTACCGAGACGGATGCTCACGGCTCTCCTGTGGGCTTCAAGCTCTTCCACCTTGGCCAGCTGCATAACTGCATCTCCTACATTTTGAAGGCCCTCGGCGGTCAAGTTTGAGCTTGTGATGTGTTTGACGAATGATCCCAGGTTGACTCCTGAGTACTGCTTGGCATAGCCATATGTAGCTATTATTTGTTAGTCTAATATTTTAGATAAAGAGAAAGAAAACTTACGTAGCGAGTGGTTAACACCGGCAGAGTAGTCACCTACGCTTTCGGGAGTCCATTGTCCGATAAACACACTACCTGCGTTCATGACCTGATCTACCACCTGCTGGGCATTCTTGATCTGTAGGATCAAGTGCTCGGGACCATACTCATTGCTAATCCTCATCGCTTCTTCTACGTCTTTGACGACAAATGTGACAGAGTGACTAATAGCACCTCTGACAATATCCACTCGCGGTAAAGCCATGGCCTGCTTGTGAACTTCATCTTCGATCGCTTGCAATTGCTGCTCGTTGAGATCAATTGCAATGCAAATAACCTGACTATCTACACCGTGTTCGGCTTGAGATAACAGATCCGAAGCGACGAAAGCCGGATTAGCATCTTTGTCCGCCACTACGAGGACTTCAGACGGGCCAGCTGGCATATCAATACTGACGCCGGCGTTGGTATCGTTGCTAACGAACATCTTGGCTGCAGTCACGAACTGGTTTCCGGGACCAAGAATCTTGTCTACCTTGCTGACACTTTCTGTACCGTACGCCATTGCTGCAACGGCTTGCGCACCGCCGGCTAAGACAATGCTTTCGGCGCCGACCTTGTGGGCGATATACACAATTTCTGGCGTAATGCTACCATCGGAACGCGGTGGAGATGCGATGACAATCTTCTTACAGCCAGCAACCATAGCCGGCACGCCAAGCATGAGTGCAGTACTAGGCAAGACCGCAGTTCCACCGGGCACATAAAGACCAACTCGTTCAATAGGTCTAGAGAATCTGCTACAAACAACTCCCGGCATCGTTTCTACCTTCAGGGGCTGCTCTTTCTGAGCAGCGTGGAATTTGCGGATATTCTCGAAGGAGATGTCAATGGCTTCGATAGTCTCGGGCGAGAGATTCATAAGCGACTGTGGGAATGGAGCTTTGAGAACAGGTGAAGTTAAGGAGGTCGCCTTTTCAAACTTGTGCGTATAAGAGAGCAGGGCCTTATCTCCATTCTCTCGAACATCACTGATGATAGGAGTAACAATATTCAGGATTGCGTCTGCTGATTTTTGGGATGGCCTCTTCAATGCTTCCGCGACTTCATTCACGTTGGCCTTACTGACATCTACCCGCTTTAGAGTAATTCTGTCAGCATCTGGTGCGGTGTGAGCTGCAACAGCGGGTGCAGATGTCAATGGCGTCGCACTCTCTTTTGCGGCCTCCTTAGCCTTTTCCGCAGTGCCGTTTGTAATGCCTTCTTTCTTAGCCCACTGACCCTTTGCATTTCCTGGTCTTCTTTTGACTTTCAAGCTCTTGGCGTCGAGGTTCTTCTCGATATCCGAAAGTCTTACCCCAGCACTAATAGCTTTTGTTAAGGCAAAGTAAATCAGGTCAGCTGTTTCGAATGCAACCTCTTCCGGCGTCTGTGCATCGCATAGTTCCTCGGCCTCCTCCATTATCTTCGCGCGAAGTAACTTCTCATCTGAGAAAAGCCTTTTTGTATACGAACCTTCGGGGGCTGATTGCTTCCTCGACAGCAACGTCTGCTCAAGCTTCGAAATCCCCTTTAGATCGCCAAAGCATCCGTATTGGTCGAGGTGACAAAACTTTCCCGATTGTCTTATCACGAACCTTAAGGCATCATTGTCGCAATCCAATGATATTCTTACCAGCTCTTGAGTATCACCAGATGTAGCACCTTTGTACCAGAGTCCTCGTTTCCGGCTCTGGTAGACACCGGTCTTAGTCCTTAGCGATTCGGCAATGCTCTCTTCACTACTATACACTAAACCGAGTGCCATTCCTCCTTCGTCGCAGACAACTGTAGGCAGAAGTTTGTCTTGTCTATCCGAATTCCACGCGACGGAAAACAGTTTTGCGACGAAAATCTTCTTTTCTGCTTCTTTATTGGTTGTTAATTCCGTAGATGGGATGATGGGAATGGCAGATAGCTGTGAACATATGTCGACAAAATGGTCATAGATAGTATCTTGGATAGGTTTGATATATAGGGGTGGCATCTTAGTAGCCTTGCTCGACTCCATGAAACCAGACACATCGCAGCTTCGTTGGTCGAAGTCCTTGAGGAGTAGCCCGTGCTCTGTCCCATAAGACAACTGCTTTAGATTTGTTATCGCCGGGGCAACTCTTCTACCAAACTCTGTAAAATCCGGCAGCCTCTCGGGTTGAACAAAAACCTTTCGGGCGCCGTGGTCCAGCAGCGTAACGACATCATCTTTCGATTCGAGGCTAGTAGCGTCGAAGAAAGTATGAAGAGTTGCAGCATTGAGCTGACCCAAGTTATCAAGGAGCTCTTCAAAGTTTTGCTGAGTGACCTCGAAGAAGACGCAACCTAAACATGCCACTTCCTCTTGACTTAGACCTTGCCCCTCCTCGCTCGAAGGCCAACTAGGAGGGACTGGTACGGAGATGAGAAAAGGGAGCGGAAGTGTCGTCTCCATAGCGATAAACTTGCCAAGTTAGAACTGAATATATTGAAGTTCTTTTTGGCTGCTAGAAACTAGTGCATAAGATGACGACTAAATTGGTAGATAGGTAACCTAACCTAGGTAGGTATCTATGAATTGTTAAGTGGAAGAGGAAATAATTTTTTAGAATGTGCCAGATTAGTCAGCCATGTCAGGTGACCTGAAAATCCCTAGTCTCATGTAAAATAGTGGTGTAACACGCGTTCCCACGATTTTACCTCCATCAATCAGATCATCAAGAATATCATCAATTAGACCTCATATATCGCCTGTTCAGTACGTATTAGTTGTGTGACAGAATGTCACTCCTAAAATCGGCGTAAATGATCTAATTGCCCTTAAATTGTCCAATGATGGCGGGGCAATTAACGAATTACCCCTCCATACGGAAACCTGCAACCTTAGGTACCTATTTACGCCATAACCTAGGTACATACATCCTAACCTAACCTACTAGGTTACGTAGTAGTACAGGTACATTCCCAGGTACATATGTACTTCTCTACCACCGTAGTACGGGACCCATTAATTTAGTCCCACATATTAGCATTAGGTCCACTAATGCCGTGAGGCTCAACTTAAGCTAGAGCTTGCTTCCATTAATCACTTAACTAAGGTTTCTATGTGAATAAGGTACATGCCCATTTCATCCTTAACGTCTACCTAATTACCTATAATTCTAAGCTCATACATCTTCAAACACACTCGACACAAAACCAATAAAGTCCCTAGTTCTCCCTCCTAATAAAAGTTTGGTAACGTTTCCTTTGCAAGCCGAATCGGTCGAGGAATTCTCGCGAGTTCTTTGATTCGCAGCTTATTTAGTACATGGATTGAAGAGCAAGGTCGCAAATATCCGTTTAATCGACGGTCCAGCTACTACCTCTCCAACGTCTATCTATTCAAATCGACCGCTCAAATTTGATATACTACCACCTTCGTATAGTCACAATGGCATCGGTATCGCAATCTCAGCCCAACGGGGTACCGTCTTCCTCCGCAGCAGCAGGCCCGTCGCAATCTGCTTCGCAGCCAACCCAGAACACTGCAACTAGCGGATCGACTACCATACCAAACACACAAGCGACTATCGCCTCGACAGGAACAGTAGCAGGCAGTAACAACACGCAAGCAGGCGTGTCCCAGCCTCCCTCCTCCCCGTCGCCCTCCCACGCTCCCCGGCCACGCGACGCCCGCACAATCGAGCTCCTTCTGACCTCCCAAGGCGTCACGTCTTTCGACCAGCGCGTGCCCCTGCTGCTCCTAGACTTCGCCTACCGGCACACGTCGTCCATTCTCTCCGACGCGCTGCACCTGTCCACGGATCCGTACACCACCCACGCCGGTTCCAAGCCCAGCGCCGCGTCGGGCGCAGCCCCCAGCGCCCCGAGTGCCGGCGAAGCCGCCGTCACCACCAACGCCATCAACCTGGCCATCGCGTCGCGGCAATCCTTCCAGTTCCGCGGCGCTTCCGGCGGCACCGGCGCCAGCAAGGAGTGGATGCAGGAAGTGGCGCGCGACCGCAACAAGATCGCCTTGCCGCGTGTTCTCGCCAACGAGTGGGGCGTGCGTCTCCCCAACGAGCGCTTCGTCCTGAGCGGTATGGGCTGGAGCCTCCGCGACCAGTGGGCCGAGGAGGATGACGGCGATAGCGACGAGGACGAGGAGATGGAAGGGGTTGATACCCAGAGGCAAACGAACGCTACTGCTGGGGAAGAGGGTGGCTTGGAGGAGCTACTTGGTGATGATATGGGCGATATGGGCGATGAGGATATGGAGGGAATGGAGTGATTGATCGACTATATTCCACAAAACCCTACCAGCAGCACACCGAGGCCAGTCTTTTGTAGCAAAAGGTACTGTGCGGCCGCATCTTCTATGCGATAGAAATTAAGGATAATGGCGTTACGGCGTTGGGTAAAAAGAGCAGCAACGGGTTCGGCGCGTTGCGCGACGATACAATTTAATTTTTCTTGCGCCTACAATACGTCTTTAAGGATACTTGGACTGGCTGGGATATACTAGTATAACGCCCCCATTGCATAAACCGTTAGAACTATAGGGCTGAGTTGAGAAAAGGCGTACGATATATGAAGGTGGTCTATTTGCTACAGGTCGCTAGCAATGCGCCGAGGACTAGCTAGGACGGTCAAGATGCAGGGGAAACAAGACAGCTTGTTGTACATTTTAGTCTATGACAGATGTGCCCCTTGTGCCCCTCATCCTTCTATAAAACGCCAACGCTATGCAAACCAAAATACAACAGCTACTCACCATGAGTAGCATACAAAAATATACCAATCTGCCCTAGCAGGAATAATTGTAACATGATGTAGGTTATGGGTGTTAGATGATCTAACATATGCCGAATGCTCGTAGCAGCCCCTTTTTTTGTGCCGAAACTAGTTGATGCTTAAAAGCGGGTTTGCGCGTTGAAGACGATCCTTGAGGTTAGATCATGCATTGTCACTGTAAATTGTTCGTGGTATTTGATCCTTCTGACATGGTTCCAAAGCTATGTCATCTTTTCATCTTCTCATGTCTTCATCGACAACCATATTTTTCATTCCCGTGATAAGCTCAGCATCGACGTCTCGCACCGGAGGAGCAGGCTCGCTCTTAACCCCAGGATTGAACGGACCCGGACTAATGTCTTGTTCATCTTCGACTTCGTCTTCTGGGTAACCCTCCTCGTCATCGGCATCGTCGGACCCGTATTCGAGAGGGTCCATCACATTCTCATCTCCTTCATATTCACCGCTGAATATACTCTCTTCGGCATCGGCGTCTTCATCCTCCTCCTCATCTCCTCGGGAAAGATAGCTATCGCCCATATTTCCGATGTCTTCGTCTTCCTCCTCGTCTGCGGAACTATCGTCTGCGTTATCTTCCGACTCACTGGCTGAGAACTCGTCTAGCTCTAAGGGAGTGTCGCGCCAATACGTGAAATCGGTGTACTCAACACCGCCACCCTTGACAAGAGTGCTGACAGGAGGAAAGTAGTGATTAACGACTTCCGTCATGTTGACGTAGCTAAGTTTCAACTTATTGAGACTGAGCAAATCTAGCGACACCTCGGCGTTAGAGTTGATCGTGAAGATTCGATTCCTTGGCACGTCCACAGTCCTATAAGAAATTTGATCCGTAAGACGATTTCCAAAGCCAGCATAGAAGCAGTGATTGTCAGGGCCGTATAAGCTTCTAATATCCCGTAGGGTTGCCATTTTAAATACATGCGGCTTCCGTAGGTAGATCTCTCGCCTTAGCGCCGCCATCGTCCGATCAGGCGATAGGATTGTTGGGCCTTTAGGCAAGCGGTATCCGTCCTGAGTAATACCGTAGAGATATGCCCTCGTTGTATCGGCCTGTCCAACCGAACGACTAGTTAGGTACATGATATTGTACCCATTTTCGACAATGTCGCTGTAGAGCTTCGCAACTCCCGTATGTGTCCAGTCTCGTCCGATCATATTTAACACATGACCCAGAGCATCAGACTTAGTTATAGTACCATCGATATCAGAAATGACAACAGGCGTATCATGCTGCCAGAGGAACATGTATGCTTGGCATGTAGCACGATTTACAGTAAAGCTCATCGAATTCTCGCCAGGTTTCAAGTTTAGCGCCTTCAGCTGATCACTGGTCAGCCGTAGGGTTTTCGCGTAGTTTCTATTTGGATTTCCTGCCGATAATGACGAGCCCGGGGTCGTCGGCGGCGTCTGAATAAAACTTTGGCCAACGTCCGACTCACTTCTCCTGTGGGAAGGTCCTTGTGTCGACATAGTAGAATCGTCACTTTGATATCCGGGATCGGAAGCGGCATCAATAGCAAGCGTAGGCGACGGCCGTAGAGATGCCACAGTCTTCTTCATTGCAGCTTCCTTCGCATCCTCACTGCTGTATATCCAAAGGTTTCCTTCTTCGTCCATTCCAAATAATGCGCCAATATCGTAGTCGCCTTGGAGCTCTTCAGATAATATCTTCCGAGCTAGAATTTCAGCTTTGATCGCGTCTTCTTCACTAGCTTTATAACCGGTCATATCTAACATAAGATCACCCGTTTCAGTCACTCGGCTAGGGATATTGACTGCCGAGAGTTCTTTCGATAGGGTCATGGCTCGCCGAATAGCCTCTCGGGGTGCCACAGGGGGTGGGCTTCGTGACCTTTGGGAAATTGCGCTATCGGCTTCGTGTAGGTCGCCATTCGAGTCGTCTTGCTCATGGGTTACCTGCGCAGAAGCCGGCAATAATTCCTCACTATAAGATGGATGGTTGGGGGTAGTGGACCACCCTCTTGAGACTGGTCGGCCGCTACCTAACTCGGGCGAGGACGCAAGGGGTTCAATTATGTCTACACAAGCATCAGCTATTGTCTTGAGGGTTCGGATGTGGATTTCATGGTGACAAACCTGGGCGGGTAAGGACTGTGGGTTTAGGTCGCAGCAGGGCAGTTCTAGAGTCGCCATCCAACTGCAAGAAGTCGGGCTCCTGAAGTTCGTTGGATGAATAGGACCTATCGGGCTCAAGGGGTGGGCTGGAAGCGGGAGAGCTAAGAGGTGAGGTTTGGAGACTTTGAGGAATGTTGTCGTTGGTCTCGAAGACGAAGAAAGCTTCACCCCCTTCCCCTAGCTTCATAGCATAGTTTTGCTTAACGCCATTGACCCTAAACTCGACCTTCTTCTCGTAAGGTCTCAGTAGGGAGAATTTCCCGAAACGAACGTGAAAAGGAGAGCAACACAGAGTGCCATCTTCGTGCTGTACTACAATCACATCGATTGCTCCGCTCAATGTAGCCGGATTGATCGAGTTCCAGGCGGTAGAAACAGAGTCGCTTATATTCCGAACGTACTGCATCTTCGAGAAGGGGTTGACGTTGTTCAGTTCACAATTAGGAAGTCGGCCTCGGCCCTGAGACCATGAAAAGGGGAGGATAGGTAGCCAATTAAAACGATAAACCGAGGCAAACTCTTGCGAAACAAAAATTATTCGAATATATCTATGACGGCGCGATTCGACGTATATTTCAATGTGATCGATGATGTTTCGTTCGGAGCTAGAGATGGCGAATTAAAAGCTATGGTTTGCTTGTCGCTTGAAACGATGTTAAGGAGTTGCAGATTAAGAGGGTAAAAGATTCCGACTATTCGGAATAGATGCACGATGCACGATGGTGACTGGTGACGTAGTTACGGGTCACGATATGAACAGGCTCGAAACAAAATATAGTATAGTAAAAACAATACCGTTGTGTTCTCGCGAAGCTGTAAATAGTAAAACGAGCGTGAGGAAAAGGGGGAGAGTCGAAAGTAGGATTTATGACGAAGGTCGTATAATTAACCGGGCTGGTGGGACGAGGCGGGAGTATCATATGTAGACAACGGCGACCTTGTTGAGAAAAGGCGACCGGCTACAACTTTTATGCAAGCAAATTTGACGGTGCAAGTTGCACATGTCGTATTTTTGGAGGTATGATATCCCTGTACCCCTGTACATCAGAAGTATTATTGTATTATACTCAACATTACCTAACGTAGGTAGGTAGGTACCTAGCCAAGCAGAGCCGCGGGTCAATGACACATGCTTTTCTAAAGTGGATACACCACGCGAGTCCACTTACAGGGTGCTTGTGCTAAAACATGGCCTAAGGTCTGCTGGGGACCAATGCCATCTTCACACCACAGCAGCTGATTGATGGCTTCCAGCATCTAGACTTTAGGTACATATGCAGCTGACTTGCTTCATCAAAAATACGCTAACCGCCCCAAGACGAGTGGCTCCCGTTCCAATGATTTTATCTTGTGCAATCCCGAAACTACGGTAATGCTGCAGCATGCTCGTGATTTTCTAGGAGCTCTAAGTGAGGCAATTTCGTGTCAAGCTCTGCTATCTGCTGATTACATGTAGCAACATTCTCGTATATGTTGACCCCGAAGCTCTTTAAAATAAAAATACCTAGGTTAGCGAACTCATTTTGGTTAAAACTAGCCATCATCAATCAATAGTTAACTAGACTTAGTTGCACAGTAACTTAATGACAGGATATTGGAGTAAATGCGTGCTGTAGGTAAGAAAATGGAAGAGACCTTTACGATATGCTTCATAATTCTCATTGGAGAGCAAGATCCAAAAAACATCGATGTGCATAAGAAAGGTGATGACGAATGATACGCACCTCACCTCTTATACTTGACGAATGATGACTTTGCTCAGAAGGTCGGGTATAAATATGCGCAGGATATGTGAGGCGAGACATTATAATCCCGCTGTCTTATAGCTACGTGTGTGCTTGTCTTCGATAATCCCGTTTCGTTTATATTGAGAAGGAATTGGGGGCTACATGATAGGTATGTTGGTTTACTCTTCTCGTCTATTCGCATACCATACTGTAGCATTAAGGCTGTCCAAAGTGACCAGTAACATCGGGACTGCACTTGTATGTCGATATTTATCGTGTGCTTCCGGTATTTCCGTTGGCATCTCGCAATAATTAGTCCCCATGGGGTTCGGGAGATAGGCGGACCATAAACGGTAATGGCGAGAAGATCTTTGGACCTTCAGTCTAGATCCGTGCAGTGTTCAACCAGTTATCACAGCAGGTTATAAACCGCAAGTCAGCAAGCCGGGTATAGAAGTTTGGGGCATCGGGAGAATCGGGGGGTACGACGTGCATACCCAATCCTTAGCGCCAGTCCGCACTGCCGAACCGCTATTTCCATTGGACGAAGTTCTCACCAAGCTTCCTAGGCACTGTCGCACAACTCTACCGAGGTGCTGATTAAGTATATATCCGACTAGGTATCTGGCCGTGCAGATCTAGGGCACGGTTGTGACATGTTCTATTTCTAGGGTTTGGTTCCACGAAGAGTATTATGAAGCCTTTACTGCCTGGCTATTTTTATTCAATAGCTAACAAAATCAGAAGAGCATGCAGCTATTGTAGGGGAAACTTGAGTAGGTATTCTGAGAAATAGTTTAACTAGACTATAAACTATAAGATGCACAGTTCAATAAACTTTAGTTATACCGTTTTAATTATTAGAGCCAACCTTGATTACCTAGTTCTTTACTAGATTGAGATTAATCTGAGATAGAGTCCTTTAAGGCAAGCCAGATATTCTCGATGAGGCAGGCTTAAACAGCAATAAGCTTAATCGCACTTGCCTACTTGCCTATCTAGGTGCCTAAAAAACCAAGCGTGTTAGGGCCGACGAAGGAAGCTGCAACCCGCTAACGCCGTATGCGCACATGGCTAATTCTCATGTTGGTTGGTGCTGCTTGTCTGCTTGTGCGTCTCAATTTTTAGCGCTCTTTGACTGTTGCATATAGCCCGGTAAGCCTCCATTGTTCCCCCAAGCTTCAGCCGGGGGTGCCCACATTTTTTAGAGGAGGCAATTCGACGAGAGGAGGAAACATTTTCCAATCATTTTCTATGTTTTCAAGTTCTCTTTTCTTTTAATCCCCCCCCCCCCCTCTCTCTTCCCTCTTGGGCAATATTTCTTTTCTTTGTTGATAGTCTGGCTTCTCGACCACGGCGATATGTTATGGACCCCATGGCCGACGTCTGTTCCTACCGTCCTCTTCGTCTGCGCTTTGCTGGCCTGGTGGTTTATTGAGCCTAAGACGACTCATCTAAACCTGATAGTTGTCATCGGTTGCGTTCTCTTCTACTGGGCTGTGGCACCCGAGCTGGCCCAGGCGACACCCTATCAGATCTATCAGTTTAGCATCCACGCCGCCAAAATATTACGACTCGACGTTTTAATTTTGCATCATACCAATATGCTCGTCACCGGCATAGCTGTTGTGTGGTATGTATATTTCTATCCTGCAGCCTGCAGCCTGCAGCTCTCCGTATCTAACGCCGTCGCAACATTGCAGGTTGGCTCACCGAGCTGTCCAGACCTTAAGAAAGTCCGTCAATGAACTCATCGGTGTTCTTGGTGTCGAGGTGCCCGATGCTCCCGATGTCTCGTTAGCAGGGATCCGTGCCGATGCTGCTACGCTCAACTGGACACGTCCGCTGCCTACCCGACCTGTTGCAAAGTTCACGATACAAGTCAATGGCGTCAATGGTAAGTTGAAGGAAGGCAGTAGTCGTAACTCCGCACATGAAATTAACAGTCGCTACTCTAGTTGGCGATTCCGCAAACCAAGAGACGGCTATTACGGTCACGGGTCTAAAACCAAATCACTTTTACAACGTAAGAGTTATTGCTGTTGGGTATAACAATTTTCAAGCGGGCAGTCGCGTAATACGCCTACGGACATATGGGAGAGATGGTCGTCCTCAACTCGGAGACGGTCGTCTGCCGTCCAACTTTGTCCCCGAAGAGCAGCAGCTAGCTATGCCCAGTGATCATGGGGATGAAGATGGAGCTACTAGGAGCTCTGCTGCCGGTGTGGAAACAGCGTCCGTTCCGGATAATCCCGTAGTATCTATACGAGAAGCTAACCCGGCCGTTCTGACCGGCCCAAGACGAAACACCCTAACACGCAAGCATTCACCTTCTACGACTAGTATAGATCAATCTGTTAAAGATGCCCTAAGTAAAGATTCGGAGGAGTCGCTACAGGAGCTGGGAGAAAAATTCGAGAGCATTCGAAAAGAGATTGACGAGACGCAGGCGCAGATTGCCAAGGACGAGAAAGAGCATAAGGAGTTGATAGATGAGCTAGCGGAAGAGAAAAAGACAAAGAGGCGGATACAGAAGGAGAAGGACGACACGACTGAAAAATTGAAGAGGGAAATGGGCTCGACGGAACGTGCTATGAGAAGCGCGCAGCAACGGAAGTCCCAGAGGGAAAAGCTACTAAAGGAAAAGCAGGCCGAACGACAAAAGCTTCATGATGATATAGCAAAATGGGAGAAGGATATTGCCTCGATGCAAAAACGCCAAAGCGCTTTTGAGAAGGACCGGAATACTTGCCAGAAGGAAGGCGATGGCCGAGCTGAAGAGCTACGTGCTGAGATTACCCAAGCGCAGGCAAGCCTAGCCCAGGAAGAGATGGAGCTCAAGGAAAAGAGCAAGGAGCTAAAAGAGGCAGAGGAGCAGAGGAAGAAACTACCTGGTGGGGAAGAGAGCGAGGAATGGCGTGAGAAAGACCGTCAGATTAGGAGAGATTGGGAAATCCGCGCCAGGGACTTGCAACGACGGCTCTATGCAGCCAACAGGAAGCTACGGATGGTCAACGACTACGAATCTGCACTCCAGGCCCAGTTAACGGCGGCACAACAGTCCGGCCTCCCTTTCATGTACAATCAGGCAAATTCATCGGGGGTTGATTTCGACTTGGGGACGCAAAACCAGCTTAAGCGGCGAAGCCGGAACAGCAATTCGCTCTCCAACGTAGTCATGCCGTCTCCCGTCTTGTCATTTTCAATGGCGGATCGGCAATATGGAGCATCAAATACGTTCGGACCCTCTCGACCTCCTACCATGCCTCCCGGGTTTGCCCAAGGCCCGTACATAGAACACAACCCCGACTACTCCGGCCTATCCGATGAAGAACGCTTGCGACAACTCACTGGTGGTGCACCGCTCAGTCCTACGGCAACCTCATTGTTACCTGCGGGAATGCTTGACGATCTTGTGGACGATGAGCCCCCCAGTCCCAACTCTCGACCATCCCGCCATAATACATTTGGCTCGGCATTTTCTCCCGAGAACAACCCCCAGTCACCTACTTCTTCGACCCGCTCGCTTAGCATCTTTTCTAGCCCTCAAGGTTCCTCTCAACATTTACCATTCTCTCAGTATACCGGTGAAAATAGTGAGCGTCGCTCGCTCAAGGGAATTAGAGAGCTTAATGCAACGTCATCGCCCATCGCCCCGCCATCTCAATCTACAAACAGACGGAGCTTCTTGCCATGGCTTCACCGTGGCCCTAAGACGGTTGATGAACCACCGGCTCTAGGGTCTTTGAAATCTGTCCAGACTCAATCATTACCGCGTTCAGTAGAAGATGGAGACATCATTCCGACTAGGCGACGAATTAGTCTTTCGTCTGGTTGGAATGTATTCAATCGGAATTCTACGGGATCGGAAATCCTAGACGCTGGCAGTCCCAGCGCGAGAAGCCTCCATTCTCACCGATTTGGCCTCGCCGCGAACACTCATAGTATCGGAAGTAACATATTCTCAGAGCGCGATCCAAGCAGCCCTAGACCCGTTTCTATCGCGTCGTCTGAATTACCTCGTCCATCTACCGAGAACTCCTCCATTTGGACCCGGGGTCCTCAGCATAGTCGACTCTGGTCTGCCGACGATAGTCCGTGGGCAGCCTCGCGGAATCCGTCTAGGCGACCTTCCATCCATGGCTCCCCATCTGCTCTAAAGACCACTCTGGCTGATGCCGACGACGAGATTCTTGACGACTCTGAATTACTGCACGCATTGCCTAGCCAAGTGGGAGTCATTGGCACCAAACCATCCTCTAAGACGCTAAGCCAACGTCTCAATCCTGCTGCGCCTACCTTTATGGCGGGTTTATTCCGTACTAAACTTGATAAGGAAAAGGAATCGGATAAAGACTCAAGGGACTCGAAAGATAAAGGAAAAGGTAAAGCTCGAGATAGGGACTGGGCTAAAGAGAAAAGGCCTCGTGTTTCGCTATCGTCAGCGTCTGAAGCTGCGGCGCCTTCCATAGATGAGTCGCCATCAGAGTCCCGAAAATCTCGCGACGCATTCAGCATTGGTACACCGTCTGTCACCGAGTCGCGCGAGTCACTCACTTTAGATCAGCCGCTCTCTAACACTCTTTCTGACCAAGCATTCGCTTCTGGGAATAAAGAACAGGAAAGCGGGTTTAGAAAACTACTACGTAAGGGGAGTTCTTCGAAATTTAGCTTTACATCATCGGTACGCGGTCTGGGGGCTAAGAAAGGCCCAAGCAGCGTTACAAACTCTGATAAAAACGCATCAGTTGAACGCAGCAGCTTTGACGAATATGCGGAAGACAGCAGCGGTGGTGGCCCTGGATTAACGCTTGGTCGCAGCTATGAAAGCCTCCACAGCAGCCCATCTCTGGGACCTACGAGCGTGAGCAGACATGCTAAAGACAAGTCAGTCAGCTGGGGTTCTCGGTTCGCTATTAAGAAAAAGACGGGTAAAGAAAAGGAGAGTTTAGACCTTGAGAGAGAAGAATCTGCACCGAATACACCTGTGCTGGAGTAAGCTGTTGGGTGATAACGGTTATGTGTTTTTGACAGTCAGAGCAAAGCGGATATTGCGACATACCATAGCTTCAGAATTCATCAGCGTCTAAACTATTTATTCTAAGGATCTACAAAGTAAATACCCACGCGTGATGACATATAAGCGAAAATATACAGTAATATCTAGGTTAGCCTCTTATAAGACCTAGGTTAAGTTAAGGGAACTGAATTATTTATTATCGCTTAATTGCATATCTATGGACGATCTGGTGTTATCACGATTATAGTAGGCGGTGAAATATGGCAAAATAGCTAATGCAATTATAGAGCTACGGAGCTTCGCTGGTCTCACCACTAACAATCGATACGACCGAACGAGAAGTTACCTAAGGTACGGTCGGTAGCTCACAATCTTCAACATATAGAGAGCATGTAATGCTAAAGCGACAAATAAAAAATACTATCATATCCCGTCGACTTCGACTTCCAACATTCTCTCCCCGCCAACCGTCGACAGTCCATGGCCGCCGCAATGGCAGCTCAACAGCCCCCGATAGCCCCCGGCGGCAGCAGTAGTCGCAGTACGGGGAATAACAATAGGGGGACAGAAGATATAAGCCTGTCGGTGCCTTCCCGCAACCCGCTGCCGCTATCAGCGAGTCAAGAGGCGCAGGTTCGAGAGGTGTTCAACCAGCGCGTGCGAGACCAATGCGCAGACGAGATTAAAGGTCGGTTCGCTCCTCGCACGTATTTCACTCCCTCCCTACCTGCCTACATAGCAATTCAATTAGGCAAACCGAGCCATACCTGGCCTCTATATAATATCGGTGCTCGCCCCCGATATTTCCGAGCACAACGCTAACACGACGCACAGCCTTTGCAGACTGCGCGCGCAGCCGCACGCTAACGATCGCCTTCGCGTGCCGGGACGCCTCGCGGCGCATGAACGGGTGCATGCTGACGCACGCGACGCCCGAAGAGCACGACCGCGCGCGGGAGCAGTGGTTTGCGCAGCGGCAGCAGCGGGCTCGCGAGCGCGAGCAGAAAGAGCGCCGGAAGCTCGAGCAGGAGGCTTTCCATCGCGAGTGGTGGGGCTTGCCGCGGCGGGACCCCGAGGATGTCAAGAAAGAGCTGGAGAAGCTGGGGAGGGCCGAGAGGATCGGCGGGCAGACGAGGAGGAGACCGGCGGGGGAGGAGGAGGGGGAGGGGAGGCGGTGAGAGGAGGATGTTTATGTGTATAGGTACGTGGTGTATATGCATCTCCGGCGTTCACTGGCGGGATAAACTTGTTAATGAGTTCGGGGTTTGATTCCAAGATGGCTTCTCTGCGACGTTTTGTGTACCTCGTGAAAAAAAAGAAAAGGGGGTAATAGACAACTGCAAAGTCCAAAGTCAACTACTAGCACAAACCTATGACACTACAACGAGGCCTACGAATTATAACGAGAACTCTTCTATGTCAACCTCAATCATATAGTATTATTATGAGATACATCACAACGCGGAAGAAGGAACTTCGACTATGACTCTCGGCCCATGCTATTTTTATTTATTACAGCTCAACTACTCTTGCGAAATTTTCGAGTGACTTCTCTACCGACGGTCTTTTTGTCTACATTGTCCCATAACGCCAGCCCCTCTTTTCCGTTTATTGCGGAAATCCCATCGCTGCAACCTATATCTCGGCCAATCGATCTAGTTTTCCAGCGCCTCCTTAGGCAGCGTCGCCACCTTCTCCTGAAACAGCTTGTAAGCACCGGCCCACACCGGGTTGTTCTTCCAGTCGTTTAGCTTGAGCAGATACGGCAGCAGATCATTGCTGAATGACTCGGAAGATTCCCGAGGCAGCAAGCTGGGTAGGTGGTCAATGCTGATGACGCTCAGAGGAGGGTTCTCTAGTCCCTCGACAGGTACTGTGGGGTGGGTGAATGTTGTGGCAACGGTGTAGATAGGGACTATAGTACACGTCAGTATTGAGTATAGTTGGTAGGGGACTCGGTTTTAGGGAACATTAACTCACCAGGGTTGTAAGGGTTCGTTGTGTCAGCCGAGACATCGCACACGACACTCAATTGGCGTCCAGGAATCTTCAGTGAGTCCAGGTTGACAAAGTGGGGGATCTGAGACGACAGGTAGATGCAGTTTACAAAGATGTCGCTTTCGGCGATCTCCTTGAAAGGGCCACCCTTGGCCGTCTCAGCCAAATCCCACTTGAGGATCTGATCTGTGGGCACGCCAACCTTGAGGCACAGATCGACCGCACCACGACCGCATCGGCCCAGCGCACCGATGACGATGACCCTAGGTACTTTTCCAGCCTTAGCCTGTCCCGCAGCCAGATCTTTCTTGATATCAGCGACCAGCGCGTCCTCGTTAGGATAGCTCTCCACGCCGGGGAGGGGCTCGCCCGGGTGTGTCAGCTGCCAAGCCCAGTTCTTGATAGCCAGGGCACTGCCGCTAAAGCCAGCCTGGTATCCAAAAGCAGCGACACGACGTCCCGTATCGGGCTCCTGGAGAAACTCGAGATCGAGAAGGGTGCCACCGCCGCGAGGGAAGCGGGCAAGGACTGCTTCCCAGCCTCGCTGTTGCTTGTAGCAGTGTGCAAAGTGGATAAATACGTGCTTGAGAGGGACTATATCATTGATTAGAAATTAGCACCAATCTAAGTGTTGAAATATTCAAACCCCAACTTGACTTAACTTACACGCCTCTTCGGGGAGCTCCTTGAGACCAACAATAATATGGTCTTCGGGTGCGTCCCGCCAGCTGCCGGTAGGAACTAACGTAGCTCCAACGGCGCTGAACTCTTCATCGTCAAAGATTCGGACAGGGCTCTTCTCGACATTGACGACGTAACCAGCATCGATCAAGGCCTTGGTTGTGGTGGGGGTGAGCGCAGAGCGGTGCTCAAGAGGCTTGTCCTCTGAGCGTAGATGCAGGATTGTTGGAGCCATATTGGGTTCTGATAAAACCAATTGAGTCGAATGAGCAAGGTTTCACCGCTCACGATACTCAAGTATGTAAATAGTAAATAGTAAATAGTAAATAGTAAATAGTAAATAGTAAATAGAGAACTTTACTGTTAACTACTTGGAACAGGTGATGCTATGGCGGGGCAGCGATAAGTGATAAAGCAAGTGGGTAATAGTGGGTAATGCATAGTGGGATGATTCACAATTCTAAAATTTCACCGCCGATGTCGCCTGGCTTGATACGCTAGTCCCGAAGTAGGATAGGTCCCGGTGCGTTGGGTAGGGGCTAAGTCAAGGGTCTTTTATACATAATCCGTACATAACGTATAGGTACATATGAAACTAGAATCACTTATGACTTAACACTGTTTATTAGCATAATAGAGTTATGTAGGAAAAAGACCTACGATTAGTCTTTAAAACTACAAACCGCAAATATCCTTGACTACCAGTTACTCAATCTAATACCGTACAAGCCATTTTCTCTCTTCTAACCTAGCCAATTCCTATGTACCAATACTGAAAATGAAAATAGTCGAGGTGTAGTTGAATGCCAGTCAAGGGGTTAAAACGTTTATCGTCCTCCTAATAAAATGGGTGCTACAAGATTTAAAGTTAAAAACTACCATTTTAACGAGACAATAACACGTAGCACTGTAAATAAAGTCTGCGCCGGTGTAAGAGATCAAGTAGGCACTTATAGTCTTTCGGTTATATATGCCGCCCAGAACCACCAGAAAAGATCACAAAGCCATACCAAGCATAAGTCCACAGGCTTGCAATGAATGTATGCGCCCATGGCAAGAATACCAGCTAATCTAGGCTCTGTAAAGCTACCGAAATTTTTCAGGTCTTCCTCACTAACATCGGAATCTAGAAAGAGAAAAGAGATCATAAAGAAGACCAAATATAAAGGCTATAATACCACAAATGAAACGTCATCCGGCGTGGTGTAGTCCATATTGCGCATGAGGCGGAGCATCGAGGCCAGGACAACTGCCATGGTAATTGTTCTGCAAAATACGCTTTGGGATCTTTCGGGGGCCATTTTGATGATTTGGTCGCAGTTGGTTGGATGGAAGGAATGCGGTTTTGCTATCAATTATGAATTCCTTCCTGCATAATTTGTGTATAGGTAGGTGGTAGGTGGTAAGTGATAAGTGGTAGGTATGCATATTGTATGGGATTTTAGGTAGGAAGTCCTTCTTTTATATCGATGTAACTTAATTATTCAAGTCTTTAACTAAATTAACTTTATGTGTACTTACCATAGCGGGGTAGGGTGGGTATAAAAAACTGTTCTATAATTGAAAAGCGTTTTTTATAATTTATGCACACCCTAACAGTTACCCCGTTTTTTATATAAGAATAATTTTTAAAAGAAGAACGTTTTTAAAATTAAAGGCATTTTTTGAAAAGTAGATTTAAAAGGTGTTAAAAAGGTTAAAAAAATCAAAAAAATCAAAAAAGTTAAAAAATATTATTATATAATTAATACGTATTAAATAAGCGTTATATAAAGTTTAATTCATTATATTTTTAATAATTTAATTAATTAAGATAAAAATTATAAAAATATATATTACACCGTTATTTTACATAAAATTAAAGATTTTTAAATCACTTAACATAATTAATTAATTTAATATACCTTTTTAAATATAATTAATAAATTAATTTAATTTAAAATATCTTAATATTCTTTTATTATTTAAATTTTTAACAATTTAATTTTAATCCGAAAAAAATCTTTAATCATTTTTAATTATTATTAATACGCATTTTTTACTTTATAACTATTTTGCCATTTAATTTTTATAACCGCTTTACTTATAAAAAATCCTTAATATTTATTAAAACTAATTAAATCTTAAATTATTTATATAAATCTTTTATAAAAATTTTAATAAATTTATTTGCAATTATATCTTTTAAAATAATATAATTTATTTTAATATAATTTTATTAAACTTTTTAACGTAATTAATAATTATATATATTTACATATTTTAACTTAATTTTTAATTTCTTAATATTTTTATTAATTAACTTAATTATTTATTTATGTAGGAAGGACCAGGTATGGGTAATAATTAGGTAAGGATTAAGTGTACACCAATAAGCGTACGGCAAAGGAAAAGGAACACACGGTACTGAAATGAGGCTATCACGATCTGTTGTTGCTTGTTGTTAAGTTGTGTGTGTGTGGGTTAGCTTAAAAGGTAAACCTTTTTAGGCTTAGCCCCACGCACGTGGTGGCACGTGACTAGATTACATAATTGGCTATTCCTTATATTTTAACAATTTATTATTACAATTAATTTTAAAAATATAAATTAATTTTATAATAAATATAACTTTTTTTACCATTTATAATAAAATTAATAATTTAACCTTTATAATAAATATAATTATTATATTTTACTTATTAACTTTTTAATTTATTATACTTTTAAATAACTTTATTATATATATTTAAATATATAATTATTATAATATATAAGATAAATCTTATATATTATTAATAATAATAAATATTTTTAAATAAAATTATTTCCTTATAAAGGAATATTTTTTTATTATTAAAATACTTAAGATTTAATTTAAAAATTTTATAAAATTAATTATTTTATTAATTAATGGTCGTGTGACACTGACATAAAGGCACCTTACTGATGATAAGGTGCCCTTATCGTAGATAAAGGAGGAAGAGATAAAATACTCGACTTTACTGGATAAAGGGGTTGGGTATCCACTATTATTGGAATATAAGAACATGTTATACCTAGCTAGCCTCAGATAGATTCTTCCCTCCTTAGACATCTCAATACACCAATCTTAACACCATTGATTTACTTGCTATTGCTTTATCGTTATTATTATTATTCTTATTTACGTACGTACCTACCAACATTAATATATATAAATTAATTTAACTAAATAAATTATTTTTCTTAATTTTTTATTATTTTAATATTTAAAAACCATTATAAATTGTTATCTTTAATAAATTAATAATATTATTAATATAAATAAATAATGAACAAGACTTAAACGTCTTGGCCTTGGATCAAGCCTTATTAAACCTAATATCAAGGACTTTTAAATGATAAATGATGAAGGAAAAGGAATGACTTGTATTAAAAGTGGATGATACTATGTAAAATGGGTGTGTGCGACCATAAATGGTACTTATACTAAGAATATGATCACATGATCAGGGTCAAGGTCACCTGATACACCAGCACCAGTTCAATATGTAATTATTAATGTATATTTTTATATTTATTTTATTATAAATATTAGCCTTACTATTTTTTTTTAAAATTTTATACCTGGTTAAAATTTAATATCGTATTTAAAATTAAAGACTATATAATTTTATCTATTTTCTTGAATTAAATATAGATATGCGAAATCGTTGATTTTGTATGGGAAATGGGTGGCCCCCATTAGAGTGGCCCCGGTAAGGGTGGTTTGACTTAATTAAAATACCAAGTACCTTATGAAGTTGGTGTACTACTATTTTGATATGGATCTTAACCTACCTAAATAGTTGTGCGTATGCCTTTTTTTTTGTCTTTAATCTCAAAGCGCTTTAGGAACCTACCTGGTAACTAAAATACAAAGATCATACGGGAGCACTTGTAATACCCAGAAGAGTATCCACACCTCCCAAGACATATCAACATACTTTCACTCAATCATTAACGGAAATAATATGAACCTTAACCTAGGTGGTTGATCTTGTTGATTTTGAGTTATCCCCACCACCTCTTTCATCATTGCCAAGTCTTCAATTGGTTGTGTCGTATACATGTGCAAACTGCTATGCAATTGGCTCCTGGTACGATAGCGCTCCAAGTAAGACCAGGGCGTTGTACGATGATGTTTTACTCTTCTTAGTCAGACTGGAGTGAGGGTCATATTCTGTGGGTTCTTACCGCGTTAGAATATCCCTTCCTCTTTCTGTATATAGGTTGATGGGTCCTCAAACAATTTCTTGTTAATCACTTCCTAGAACACTTGTTTTCTTACACGGCCCGTTCGCTTGACTTAACCCTTCTACCGAACTATATTGGCCTATGAAGCTTCATCCTAGACAATTTCATAAGCAATAGATAGTCGTATATATCTAATTACTAATCTAACAAATGTCTGACATTTCACAATCCACGATCGCCAACCTGGAGAAGGCTGGGTTAGGGGGTATCTTGTACAAGCCCGAGCAAAAGTCTTACGAAGAACGAGTTGCCTCGTACTGGTCTCTCACCGCACAGCTGAAGCCATGGGCTATCATTCAGCCTCGAACTACAAAAGAAGTTTCCAAGGCCTTGCAGACCCTGGTTAACACCACAGACTGTAATTTCGCTATTCGAAGGTTAGAAAATGTCCTACACGGGATTTCTATTAACAATCTGCCTTATGGATCAGGAATACCTGGATATACTCGAAGTACCGTAATACTGACACAAATTTGTGGGATAGTGGCGGCCATATGGCATGGGCTGGCTCTAACAACATTGAAGCCGGTATTACTATTGATCTCGGTCTTCTGACAACGACGACCTATAACCCAGAGACTAAGATCGCATCTATTCAACCGGGCAGCAGATGGGTAGATGTGTATACGGAGCTCGAAAAGCGTAAGAAATCCTAAGAATGTTGTCGTGTTGAAGATTTAGAACTGATAAGAAAGTTGTAGATGGAGCTATGGTTGCCGGTGGTAGAGAAGGCCTAGTTGGCGTTGGAGGTCTTCTAACTGGTGGCGGCAAGACTTTTTATACCTGTCGCTATGGGTTCGCGTGCGGTTTGTGGCTCCCCACGGTTCTATTTCTTAGAATATTCGCCGATTTGAACCGTAGCAGAACTCGCTAACAGTACAGCTTTAGATCAAGTAATTAACTACGAAGTCGTCTTGGCTGACGGTAGTGTTGTGGAGGCCAACAGGGAAACAAACCCAGACCTCTTTTTAGTATTGAAAGGCGGCTCTAATAATTTTTGGCATAGTCACCCGATTTGACATGACAACATTTAATGCAAGCAATATCTGGGATGGGAATATTACCTTTCCTAAATCGGCCACCGATATGCTCGTTGAAGCGTTCGTTGACTTCACGAAGAATCTTGCGTTGAACCCAGATGACCATATCCTAGCAATGTGGACAATTCTACCTCAGACAAAAGACCATTTCATCACTATGGTATTGACTAATCTCGATGGCGTCGAGAATAGTAAATCCTTGCAGGGGTTCTTGACTATCCCAGGTGGTCAGGGAAACATGACAACGAGTACAGTAGCCAAAAAGCTAGTCGACTTCCTTGTACCTTCAGGCAAACAGTAAGTCAAGAGCTATAAATTAGCAACGTTGCTATGCTGCTTAAATCATGGTTTATTGACTAATATATCTCATTAGCGATACATGGTTTACACTTACCTTCAAGCTTGACGCTAGGATCATCAAGAAGGCGGCCGAAGTATTTGAAAGTTTGGCCGAGGAATTAAAGAGGCAGATTCCTGATGGGAACTTTTACATCTCGATGGTATTACAACCGCTGCCAAGGTCATTTGCACGCCACTCTGTGGCCCGGGGAGGCAACATGTTTGGGATTGAGCGTTTGCAGGATGACTGCGTCCTTTTGGTAGCAGCTGTCGAGGTTGAGACCCCTGAAATATCATCTCAGGTCGGATTTCCTACCCTAAAAGCAGCCATCGCCGAGATCGAATCGTATGCTAGATCGCTTAACGGTGATATTGGGTTTTTGTACCTAAATTATTGCGACGGGTCGCAAAACCCTTTCAGCACCTACGGAGAGGAAAATATCAAGAAGATGAAGGAGGCCTCAGCGAAGTACGACCCTACGGGGATTTTCCAGGCCAGAGTTCCAGGGGGGTTCAAGATCTCAAAGGTAGAATAAGCATCTGATAGTTGATGTTTCATAGAATGAAAGAGCTGCATTTTGAACTTGGACAAGTTGCGGGATACATATTTTCTATCCACAGTGATTTATGATAGGCATGATCTAATCAAGATTGTAATAAATTCTGATTAATGCCCAGGACTTCGAGAGCACAGTTAAGAATGCGTTCCAAGAATTTATCAATGTAGTCGGCACTACGCTCGACACGAGAGCGTAAAGTCGGGTGATCGTAGTGGATAATTATCTAACCTTTCCGTAAAGCATTTTTAATGCGAAGATCTTCATCTTCTCTGGTTGTTACAGTATCACAGAGCTTAATGAATATATATTGCGTTTGAAGCATGTCTAATACGCTTATAATTGCATCATAATGTAGTTGAAAAGAAACAACTGTTACAAGAGCCGCCTATCAAGCAGATAATCCTGGGAAAATAGGTATACATGTGAATCATGAATACGGCTTGGCGATTCTACCTCGCGTAGAAGTAATTTTACTTTAATATAGGTGAAAACGTTTGATGTTAGTGTTAGAATCATCTCCTTTCTCGAGTACGAACGCGAATACGCCTCCTGCGTTTGACGTGGTGACAAGTCTACACTACATATACTCTCTGTACAAACAAGAATATATCAAAAGGACTTCCTCTCGTCAACTAATAATGCAATATCGAATATGACACGACCGCTTTGACTAACTCGTCGCAGATCCAACAATAATGTCACCCATAACGAAGGGGAAACCATAGCCAACCAATACCTAGCTCTAACCCTTGGTAGTAGATCCGATGTCACCCCATCGAATGTTAGAAAATATGACATGCGTGTCAGGATGCTGAGCCTGAATGTTGGAGGGAGTACTCTCTTGAATATTGCAGGGTCCATTGTTGCCGGCGTCGAGCCAAGACATCTGCTGTGCAGCGTCGTTCCAGATACTCATCGCCAACACCACTGTGAGGTATAAGTCAACCACATACGTTTCAAGAAGACAGCCGCTACTTACTTCCTCGTCCTAGAGCTTGGCCCATACCAGAAAGCCCGCCAAACCCGTTGTTGCAGCTGCCGATGGAACCGCCGTTGACCTGCTTCCCGTTCTGGATGTAGGTGCGGGTTATTTGCGTCAACGTGCCACTGCCGACGAATTGCGTCACGGCTGTGAACGGCTTGCTCGTGTCGACGGACCCTCCAGTTGCCCAGAGGTTACGCTGGCCGCTCGCGTATGGGTTGTACCCGCAGCCGGATTTATCGCAGTTGTCGCCGCTGCACGGGTGTGGCGTCATTGCCGTAGCCTTCGCGTTGGCTTCGAGGATATCCATCTCGTTGCAGCAATAGCCCTGACATTGGGCGTCGCAGTAGCCCTGGCCAGATGCCGCGCCGCCCGATGATCCACCGCCGTCGGCCTTCATCTCCGAGAGATAGAAGGCCCCATTCTCTCCGCAGGGGACGGCTGAATAGTCGACATCCACGGAAAGCTCCTGGTTGAGGAGGCTCATCATGACGTATTTTCCCTCAGCGTCTAGGAGGTATATGCGCGGGGACGCGGGATTGAGCGTGCCGCCCGATTTGACATAGTGATACAGTGTCACAGCGTCTTCCGATGTAGAAACTCCCATGGCAGCATAGTCAGCTGCTGTTCTTGAGCCAGCAGAACCTTGGGCATACTTAGAATCCTTGTCTAGCACGACAGAAGTATTCTGCTGAACGCAGCCTCCTGATGTGGTGCATTTCCAAGTTATTAGAGGAGGATGCTGCTCAGAGCTTTGGGCGACAGCTACTCCGGCTAGCAACGAGCTTGCTAGGCCAACGCACAGAAGTTTGAAAGACATCTCGTAGTGTGTAGGCTATCCAGTACCTCTCGAGTCTGTGACTAAGACTAAAACAGCACAGAATATAGGAGAAAGATCCTCACATTTTGTACGTACCAATTGATTCCTTTTAATCGATTACCGCCTCTATGTAAAGGGGATACCTCCGCATTGTCTCATCTATTTAGGCTTGATGCTTGACAGTTGTCGATATGCCGGCCCACCGGGGCTATTCAGCTCAAAAACCGGGATATGCGAGGAGATTGTAACATATTACGGCTGAATGATAGCTGTAACGGCATATATTCGGAAAACACCCTCCGCACACTTACTCCTTACGGCAACTACACCCATTATGTCGACAAGTATAATCCATTATGATACTATTTGATCCTGGCCTTATAAACTTACCTAGTTTGCCAGCTTGAATGTCTCTATAGGTACCCGGCCTGCGGATAGGCTAGCTACATTTGAAATTGTTAAATTGTTAGCCGATGTTGGAGTCCTGAATAAATGATATATTGTCGCGAATAAATTATTAAGAGTTGGAGAGTATACGATCCTAATTGTATTTAGCATATGCGCAAGATCCTTTCGCTTGTTGAAATGGCGTAGTAGTAAATGATAGCAAACATCTTAGCATACCATTGTATTGTTGTTTATATCAACTCCGCGAATGTCAAAGAGTCATGGGATTGTTCTCCACATAATTTACAGCTATATAAACGAAGCCAGACTTCTTCTTTTACACTACTGATGTCACAATAATAATCTAGGCTTAGCTAAAAGTAGAAACACCAAGTTCCATTTATATATATCAAGGTGTATAAGTATAACAACCTCAAATATATATCAAAATACCTGAAATCGGGAAAAGCGCTAGTTACATGAAATCATACAACGATAAATGTTTAAATATTAGCTTGTGTCCAATGTATAATATTCTTATAAAAAAGAATTAAGAAAACACTTGGGCTGTTACGCATAGAACTATGTACTACCTATCTATGATTGGACCACCAGACAGTATACCCTCGCTCTGTTTTTCTGTCTCGATTGGCCTAATACGGACGCCTATCGTACATTAGATTATATTCCTATTTGTTGAAAATGGAATATTTCTCTAAACCCCCGGGTTTTAATGATGTATGAATATATGTTATAGGACCGATTCCAACGTTGATAATTCTACGTAGATATCTAAGTACCTAATGTATTGCGATATGTATCATCATTTATTATAGTTCGTATATAAGAGATATATCAAATGGGAAGAGATTCGGAACGAAACCATAGTGAAAATTGGTTCTTATCTTATTCCAATATGTGTTTATTTGTCTGAGCCATCTCTCCGATGAGCTGATTCAGGGGTGTCAGCCGCTTATTTTATGGTTAGCTGATGCTAGGTAGTCAATGTGTTAAATGGGATACTATTGCTGACTTTCTGGTTTACCTAGCGCTTTAGCTGTATTTTCAATGTCTTTCTCCATGCGCTCTTGGGAATATTTAATGGCCAAGTCCACGTTGGCATTTCTGTCGGGGAGCATGACATTCCTATTTCCAGAATCAAGTGGCTCTCTGATAAAGTCATCGAGGCGTGGGTGAATTGGTTCCTCCGGGGAAATCGCAGGATTCTGGCCAGATGCTGCGGGTTGGCTCCCGGCATGGCTATACCACTATCAGTTATGACACCTAATTTTACAAGGATATATTGAATAGAGATAACTTACTTGGTTAGAGACTTGTCCTCGCTTAGATGATTTACAGAAGACATAGTGAGCTGGAAGGATAAACGGTATCGGAATAAGGGATTAAGCTCCGTGGAATGTTTCTATGACTAGGGCATAGGTATGGAGTCATTCTTATATTCAAGATCATTAATACAAGCGTCGGAAATTTCGTCGGTACAATGCAACTAAAGTCTTATTCATAAAGTCCTTGAAGATCCAGTCTCAATGCCCTTCCCGAGGTATTCATGTTAGAGGCCTAGATTATCGAGGCAAAAATATGGAGTGAGCCCAATAGGGTTTAAACAGAACTACGGGAATCTTAATGCTTGCGCATATTGTTACATAGTATAGGGCTGAAAGCTCACTGCACGCATCTCAGGTGAAAGATGCTGAAGTATACGTGGCTGTAAATTCGCTTGATATTGCCTTATTCTTGCCTAAACCCATGTTATTATGGTGCTGTTACTCTTGTCTGCTCTCGAGAAAATGCGGTTTGTGTCGGGGGAGCAGACGATCACACCCGATACCTCTCATTATAGAAAATAATGCTGCAACGCAAACGCGGCCTTCCCGGTCCGTAGCAGTAGATATGATAGGTTTCAGTGCATATGTCCGATTTGACACTTCTGCATGTGCGGCCTCATAGCCCGCAGCCAGGGAAGGTCTAGGCGTCCAATGAACAAATACCTACAATAAGGGTTTTATGTAACGGGATCCTAGCCACAACGCTATTAAGTACTCCGGTCTTATTTATATACCTAGGTATGCTTATTCCCAGATCTCCTACTTCTTCACAATATTAGAACTACTGGGCTGTTACTAGGGCTTGAATAGGTTACAAGAGGCGTGTAAAGGAGTATTGGTGTAGCTTCACAGGAAAAGTTTTCCGGGATTCGGTGACAAATATTTAATATCCTAAAGTACCAGACTGTCCAAACAGAGCCACCATCTCGAAGGCTACCGGCACATACCGAGATATCAACTAGCGCGTCTTTTTACCGCTTATTTTGAGGGGTGAGCACGGGGCCGTGTTTGGAATGTAACGGCGCTAATATGGAAGAAGGTAAACGTTACTGACATATCTATCATAAGTCCTTTAAGACTATCCGATAGAGCCCAACCTCATTCAGCTCGGAATTCCGCCCCGAACCCTTCAGTTTAGAGAAGAAGGTTCGCATGCATTTACTTAAAACATCCATCCCTTATGATGACAAACGAGGTCTCCGGCATGATATCCGTACCGTCCGGCAGACAGGCGGAGTATGGTGGGGCCGCCAAAGTGGACCGCTTGCCTGGTATGAAAAACGTTCAGCATGGTGGGCATATTGCGGTAATGATATGCCTATAGCTTCACTGATCTATGCATATAGGGGGATACATGTGCTACCTGGTGTTTACAATGGAACATTGAGAAAAAAAAAAAAAAACATTGTGTCAGAAGCAAAACGTCATCAAGTTCGCGAGGCTGTAGGTACACAGGGAAGAATCCTTCTTGAAACGGTACAGCGAGGACGTGACGTACATAATGCGGTGAGATATCACTGCAATTTACAACATATCAGACAAGAGGTATTATCAAGTGCCGGGCTGAAAGGCCGAGGCCAGCTACGATACAACCTCCAAGATTAGTAAGGCTTGATTGATAATAAACCTAATTATATCAACTAATTATAACTCCTGGTGTTGCATTGTTGCTGGGTTTGTAAAAATTTCTTTTTCTTTTCCCTCCGTCTCAGAGCCCCACGCTCAACAAAGCCGGACACGGTTACCAGCTCATTCGTTGTCCAACTTTGCCAACAAAAACCAATTGTCTTAAGAAATTCATTCAAGTAAGTTTTAACAAAAGAAAATGTGCTAAGATGAGCCAAGACTTCCGGAAGAGCTATAGTTTCCAGACTTAGAAGCTACTCCCGAGTAGGTGTCCGAAGCTTCTGGTTTGAGAGGTTACTTGCTTGCGACAATTACGGAGGCGCCTATTTAACAAGCCGGTAAAATGCCGAAGAGGCTCTGGAAGGAAGATATAGGACAAGGCGTCCTATAGATGATGGCAGATGCTCCTCATGACAAATCTGCACTTGTATAATACCTCGTAGACAGGATACAGGGCTGGTTGTCTTGGACTTGTGATGATTTATGAGATAGTTAATACAAGTTGAATACGAGTGAAAGAAGATACCTACCATACCTACCAACCTACGATTGAATATACCATCGCGGACCCCGAAGTATCTCGGGAATACTAGATTAAGGGATTACAATATAACAAGCGAATCTGTATTCTGATGATAATGTAACTAATTTTTTGGTTGTTTTCAGCTTAGCAAAGTAGAAAGATTGATTGGAGTCAACGGGCACTGTGTTATTCCTACATGTACCTACCTAGGTACCTAGGTAGTTATTGCTACCTATGTTTCTTATGTTCCTACCTGTTATATTCGTAAGGCAGCAGCTAAACTTCCTCATGATTACGCCATTTAACTTTATGGGATTTTGTTCAGCCGCAAAAGGTACGGACCCATCCGTTGATCTTGGATGTCACATGACCTAAGGTCATTGGACCCACTTAGTGTACACATAAGTATACATATCTTACAGATATTAGATGGATATTCCTCCTAGATACTTCATAATACAACAATAATAAGGATAATATGACACACCATTACATTGGATATCCCCACAAATGCACGTGTACAACCTATCAAAGCTTCGGTTTCGGCCAAGACTAATTATTTACCTAGTGTAGGTTCCTTGGTAATTGATCAAGTAAGCATCAACCGATGGACCATCCACCATCCAACCTAACCAATGTCTAACCGCTGTCCAACGACATCCAACTTTACATTATTTCACGTCCTCACCACTCTATCCTTCCGCCCTTATATCCCCCCATAAACATGCCCCCAAACCCTAGCCAAAAAGGTACCGGCAAGAAGAATGCTGGTGCCATCGGAAAGCGTAGTCGAAATACGACGCCCATGTCTAGCCTGCCGTCCAACGCGAGCATCCCACCTGTTGATACTATAGAAACCGAATTCTTAGACCTTAGATTAGAATCAGTCCGTACTATAACCTACGATGACCTAATTGATACCACCACCTCGAATGCCGTCATTCCCGATTCCAAGAGCCTCGATGGCCTAATTACGCGATTAGGGAAGCTCAATGAAATAGTTGAACGCCGAGGAACATGGTGCGACAAAGGAATGAGACTCGTCGCTGCCCAGAGAAAAACACATTATGACGAGATGGCTTCTGTCAGTAGAAGAGATGATGCGCGTAGAGAAGGCGATGATGATTCGGAAAGAAGAGCAAATAAGAAGAAGCGAAAGGGCAATGACAGCCTTGCCCCTGGAGATGCGCATACTGGTGAGTGGCATTTGCATGGCATCTACATGACATCTACGCTGTCTAGCTCGTAAAATTACAGTTGGAAAACAATGGTCGTGGTGCAATTCACAGCCCCTCATATTGCGCATATCCTCTTTTTTTTTTCTTGTCGTCCATGTCGCGCGACTACACCAATTTTTCTTAATGTTGATTCCTCCCCCCACTCTTCAAGAAACACGCTTAGCCATCATCTTTCAACACCAAGATTACTAGCCCGCGCTAACAACTTCATTTTAGAACGCTCATCTCCTCTACGCGGCTCTAGCAAATCGAGAAAACACTCCCGAGACAACGATTCAGCTAGCTCTTCACTTTCACCCGTCGCACCCGCAACACCCGGCGCAATGGAGGTAGACGAGAAGGCGAAACTTGACAACAAAGCCGAAGATGATTCTGATTCTGAGGATGAAGGCGCTCCACCCCGCCGAGAGGCTCCTCAATTCCAAACCTTCGGCGAAGATCCGTCGACCTTTCCAGATCCTACGGTTTACGAGATCCGCCCAGCGACACCTGGAATGACTATCGACGAGTTGAAAGAGTTGTATTCCGTTGCTGTCTTCCCCAGATCTGACCTCGCCGACATGATCGCGGGCGATCCGCCCGACAAAGACTTTAGCAGCGCCAAGCCATCGAACCAGATCAGCTTCAGCACTTTTTCGACCTACATCGAGCCGTACTTCCGTCCGTACATCGAAGAAGACCTAGCTTTCTTACGAGAGCGTGGAGACCGACTTACACCTTTTGTCATGCCTAAACGAGGCAAAAGACATTATAGTGATATATGGGCAGAAGAAGATGGCGCTATGGCAATTGATTCGGGTACACCGGGAAGAGACAAGCTCGCCCCTAATCAAGCCCGTGGCACTATCGACAATATGGACGACGATGTCGCAGAGAGCGACAAGTTATCGGTCGGCCCCGTCTTGTCACGACTGCTACAAGCTATGCGGCCCGAAGCTCGCGTGCAGCCGACCGAAGATAAGCCGATGATAAACGGAGTTAATGGGGACGTCGAGATGAAGGAAGAACCTAATGGTGATTCCAATTCGGGTATGGCAGGCGAAGAGAGTAAGAGCGTACCACCAGCCACCTTTATGACCGAATCGTCAACCGAAGCCTGGAAGAAAGCTACGCACCCCAAGTTAGATTACTCGCAAGTAGACGAACGCATCAAGCTAGAACTGCGTAATATCGGTTTCCTTCCGCTGGAAGGTTTCGACGGTGATTACGATGGACACTATGATGACGAAGTCGCCGCCCGCCTACGCCTCTTGCAAGACCGTTTACGCGAGCAGATGCTTATCAATGGTGCGCGCAAGACCCGATTGACCGATTTAGTTAAAGAAAGGATGGCCCATCAGGAATATACCACCATCCTCGAGGACCTTGACACGCAAGTCCAGGGAGCGTATCTTAAGCGGACGCGCACGATGGGTAAGAGCAAGAAAGCGAAGCGACCGGGTGGTGCTGGCGGCGGCAGTCATCCGGCTGGAGGCTCCGGGACGGGTATGGCTCGACCAGGTATCGGCGACGTGACCAAGACTCTAATGGAACGCCGAAAACGATGGATCGACGCTGTTGGCCCGGTGTTTAGTGACCCTGCTCTTGGCAAGGTTCCCCGTTCGTCGAATCCCGACAGTACGATCTTCAAACCGGAGATGATGGCTGATTTCATGAAGAAGGAGCGGCAGGCTTGGGACGAAGAGGTTGAGGATGAATAACAGGTAGACATTCTCTATTCTTGCATCATTACATCATAGTTTTCTTGGAGGCGCTGGGTAGGTTTACTTTTACTTGTACCTTATGATACCAAATTGGCGTTTAGGGGTAAGCAAGGAGTTTTGTGAGGAGCGATTTTGGAGAAATGCGATGCTTATGTGCCATGGAATTTCTACCTTTCTACCTTATTAATTTCTACCGATGCGATGGGTTACTAGCGTGAGTTGTAGCCTGAGTTAGAAGTGGAAGTTTAGTAGATTACCTGTATTTCAAGATACCACTCTCGCTATGTATGCGTGCATAGAGTTGCGGGGTATCAAAGGCGCTAATGCTAAGCTAAGGTATCTGCGTATGCGAGTGGACTGACGAGTGGACTGAAGC